TAAGTAATTTTAAAATTTTATATAATTTTATTTTTTAATAAATTTTTTTTATATGGCTTTTGAAATAAAATTTTAGAACATGATTGTTTTATTTTTTAAAATATATTATTGTAATTTATACGATTGATTATTTTTATAATTTTTAAATGAAAATGGCATTGTTGCATATATGAATTCCGATGCGAGAGAGAGAAAGAGCTAAAAGTGTGTTTTAGATAATTTAACTTAATTTTTTTAAAAAATAATAATTAGTTAAAAAATAATTTGAATTTTTTTTAATAATTACTTATATATATATGTATATAATCGAATTTATCGAAACCAATTTTATAATAGTTTTTATTTAAATCTATCTACTGCGATCTATTCTATGCGATTTAGGTGGGTTTTTTTATATTTTTTATTTATTTTATATACTCTAAATTTACTAAATACGATATAAATAGTTTTGTTAGAAATTAATTATATCCGCACACATAACATAAATTATTTGTTATTTATTTTTTTATATTCTAAAATCTATATTTTTAAATAAAATAATTTAATAAATATATATAAATTTTTATACTAACGTTATAAATTATTTTGTTAATAAATATATATAAATCAAGCAAGTTCGTTCAATATATAGATTTGATTTATATTAATCTTTTAAAATAAAATTTTTACTGGCATTATAAAGTGCGAATCATTAACCTTTTATATATATATATATATATATATATATATATATATATATATATATATATATATATATTGTCTGAGCATATATAGCGTGAGAATATAAGTAGTTAAAGGCTAAAACAAGTTGATTCTCCATTCTCGAGACTAAAGCACAGGAATCAATTTAGAAAAGGTCAAATGCCTTCGTTTGCAGTAGGTCCTTCCTGAAAGAAACGTTGCCAATCTGTCCACTCAAAGGTAGTGGCCCAATTGAAAGCAGCATTCTTTTTTCTCGTGGCTTTGGGGAAGTACTCGAATCCGTTTTTGTTGCCAATTGGGAAGGGAAGCAAAACCAGATAAATTTCTCAAAATTCTTTGTCAAGTCCTTGTTCAAAGAACGAGTCGAACAAGGCAGGGGCATATAAAAAAAAAAAAAAAAAAAAAAAAATATATATATATATATATATATATATATATATATATATAATCAATGGAAAACGAAGGACTTAATTAAACTTTCAACGTTTAACTAATAATATGTATCAACTTTTTACTATGATTTCACAATAACATAAAAAAATTAAGGTCAAGCTAAGATTCGCTTCGATAGAAGCAATTACCCTGATCTGGATTGCACAAAGAAAAGTTACATATTGTAAATGTATCTATCATTCTCAGGCCCTTTTTTTCCTAATATATCCATGGCGCAGTAGATTTATCTTCTTTTTTTCTAGACGAATTAACTCTTTAAGATACATCTTGCATAGTTTATGTTATCATGGATTCCAATCAAAATTACAACCCGATGCTTTGCATACAAGGACAAATAAATCAAATGTATAGATTCGCCCATTAGAAAATTGAATTCAATCTTATTAGTTTTTTGTATTTCATGGAGGAATCGATCAAAACACTACCGGGGCGTTGGATAAGACATGGATTTCCACAGTATTGCTCAAATGATGTGACATGAAGATACATTTTTATACATAGTTGTTATACTTATTTATGAGACTGTGGTTGATAATAACAAAAAGAGAGGGTTTAGCCAAGAGAGCGAGAGACAAAAGAAAAAAACAGTACTATTTATTTTCTTTGCTTTGATTGGATGATGATTTCAAACTTGGTTAAGAAAAAAAATTTGATATGTTGTTTTCAATTTTAACGGTGTTGATCGTCAAAAAACTTCTATCTTTAATTATGTATTTTCTAAAAATTATTTGGTGAAAACTCTTTTTTTTTTTTTTGTTGGAATCTATAACTTGGTATATAATTTGAAGTTTTGATTTGTATCCTTTAATTGAGTTAAAAAAAAAAACTTTATGTCTTGTTATTTGATATGATAGAAGAATTTGAGTAGATTACGGTTTTCTAATTTTTTTTCACATTAGGATTTTTTACGTAAAAAATTATATATTAATTGTGGTTATGTGTTTATTAATTCTGCATACATATTGGTTGATTCTAATTTTAGTTACAAAAAGAGAAAAGAATTTTAAACTTGTGATTTATGATTTTAGACGCTACATGTATCTTTCTCCAATTATTATAATCACTGAAGAAATTTTAGAACATTCAAATAATAACTAATAATGTTCACTCAATAAAAAGAGAGAAAAAAACATTCCAATTCAGTAAAAGTAAAAAGAATATTTTCATTAAGGCTCAATTTTTTATAAATAAATTCTATCTCTCTCTCTCTATATCTATCTTTTTATGAAATAAATATTGTTAGTCATTCATGAAATTCATAGTTATCACCATGTTGTAAACCTACGGTCGGCACTCTTACTATCCAATACCGGGTCTTGCCTCGGAATCTGGCTAGCGTACTTGCAAGAACAAAATGTTGAGCATAAACTGCTAGTACACTGTGATAAGTCAAACAGATCAGGCCGTGAATGAATGTACTCGGATGGCTTTTAATGGGATTCTCCAAGATTAAATGAATTCAAACATCAGGTGCCGTTTTGACCCATTTTCAATTGTAATTTACTGGTTGTCAAAATGGTTGTAGATAAACCAATCAATCCTACGTAGAATATTGTCAGTGTCGCAGGGAGTAAAATAAACAGGGGCCCATATGATATTTGAATAAGGATACAGATAAAAAGCACAAGGGGATGAATAAAATAAGCAAACTTTTAGAGAGGCCTGATTGAAGTAACCTTAAATTATATAAGGTCTAAAATGAACTTTTCAAAAAATTTGGAGAGCGACGGGTTCTCTCATAGGTCGTAGCGTCGTCCCTGAACGTTGTGTCTTTTACACACCCGCATGCTAAAGCATTAACAAATTAACGGGTTTCCGTCCATATCTCCTTAACCTTTGCTTAGCTTAACAGAACAAAATCATCTGAAAATAGAATGGGAGATGAACGTGCCTGGTTAATGATCTTCAGTACTACTAAAGATCCCACAAGTTTATACTTCTCTTTGTTTCTTTTTTTGTTGCTTTTTACACCATATTCCTTTCTCACTCTATTGGCACTTTCCAAGTTTGATCCACTGGTGATAGATAGACTAACTATGCTAGTCAAGATCCAAGTCATATCATTCCCTTTCTTTTTCCTTCTCTTATTTCAGCAAACTGCACTTATCTGATTATACTACAGCAATTTGTCACTGTCATGTAATTCTAGCCATGAGTTGCAGGGACCATGTTTAAACTGCTAAAATTTGCTACTCGTTACATGCGAATATCGGATAATAAGCGACCTAACAGAATTATCTGACAATAACCAAAGCAAATGAAATTAAGCTTTGGAAATTTAATTCTCGAGGAAGATCCTTTGCTTGTCGCTATGCCTTCCTTGACTGGGAAAAATTAAGCTCAAGATTGGACTTTATCATATCCAACATATGAGCTGATGCCAGGACACGTCAAGTTTTAACTTTTCTTTAGTCATGCAGTACTGTTACCAGCTGTGTATACAAATCAAGTAGATTTGAATCTTACTTTTAACAGCAGAAATGCTCCATAAGGAGTTTGCTTTTGGAGAAAACCAACATGGTATCTTAAAACTGATTATAAGATGAACATTTTAGGTATTATCAGCTAAAAACGGTTTAACTAATAAATATTGCAGGCCCAAAACAAACCCTTTGTAGGTTTGTTAATGCAGCTGCTCATCGTGTGGCTCAATTGGAATCTTTATTTGCGCCCATCACAATATTTCCCCTCTCATTTTCACTCGTAACGATTTGTCCCTACTCCCTTCGGCTTGGCACTTGCGATGGGCTAGTTGCAGGGTCTTTCTCGTTGTTGTTTTTAACGAAAAAGCAAGAGGAACAAAACACATACGTAACGTGGTAGTCCTTGGAGTAGGAAATTGACAGGTGCAGGTTTTGCAATTGTAATCCATTAGCTCCAAACACTTTCTCCAGGCATTCAAAGCAAATGAACCAACCGAAGGGGAAGGAGATTGACAGAGATTGATCAGTGAAAGGATAAGAGGTCTTGAAACATTAATGCAGGAGTTCAGAAATAGGCTGCTGGAATTGCTTTGAGACTGAAACTAAGGAAAATTTCAGCTTCAATTTCAAAAATGATTTTGACACTATAGATGTAGTTCCCTATCTACAACTCTAGTTATATTAAAGAGATAGATAATTCAGGTTTTGTTTGACATGAATATTGTTGCAAACTGATTTAAACCATCCGTTTAATTTCAAAAAGTTATTTCTAATTTGGAGAAAATTTTTAATCCATGCCATCCCATAAAAAAATCTCTTTGACTTACTTTTACCAAACAAATTTTTAAATTAGAATTATTTTCATCATCAATATTTGTTCATGACCAATAATTTTTGAATTATCCAAGTAAAATTAAAGGTTATTATTCCTAAATTATGCCAAACAAACTTGAATAAATTAGACACCAAAGAGTAAAAAAAAGAAAAGAAAAAGAATTGAGATGGATGAGTGAGCAGAATATGACGGCAACTTGTAGTTTTGAAAGATACTATTAATTTTACCGTGTCTTGCATTATTAATAAGGATTTTAAAATTGGACAATTAATTTAATTTATTTCGAGTAAAATTAAAAGAACAATACGGTTAGCAAGTAGAACTTCCAGTTTCCACAGGTACTACAACCCCCGTTTTATTATCCGATCTAATCTAATCATAAACAAAAGCCCACACAAAAGGCACAAATTCATTGATAAGCAAACTGATTAGCACCGAAATCCATAATTATGCACACTAATCGCCTCCAAATCCAACGAAACCTCCCTAGTGCGCACGCAACAGTTTTTTATCGCCCATTTCCAAAACAGATAAATAACCCAAACCCCCTCGTTTTCCTTAATTTTCCGAGCTAAAAAAAAAAAAAAATGGCAAACCCTAACATCCGGCTCCTCCTAATTCTATTTCTACCCCTAATCTTCTCCCCAGATTACGATTTCATCAGCGTGGCCAATGCAGGGAGGCGGAGCATCCACATAACGGACGATCTTGATGACGTTATCGACGATGAGGAAGACGAAGCATGGAAAAATTGGGGAAAGAACCCAAACCCCTCTAAAGACGAGTTCGATCCACCACCGTCCGATTTGAACAAAATGAATATGCAGGAGATCCAGGAGATGATGATGAAGCGAAATTTCGGACCAGTTTTCGGGTTCGTTAAGCTCCGATTAGGCGTACGCCGGACTCCGGTAATTTGGTTGAAATTTTCTTTTCTTTTTTTTTTTGGTGAATTGGAGTTTTTGAATTGTTAGTCAGGGATTGATTTCTTATGGTTATGCATTTTTAGGATGTTGTTGGTGAGATTGCTATGAAATGGACAAAGATTTTGAAAACTGGAGGAATTCGAGTGCAGTTTACAGGGGTTGATTCGAGTACAATTATGTTTAGCATGGAACAAGGCAGAGACACGATGGAGGTAAGTGGTTGAGTTCATCGACTCTTGAATTATTTTGGATCATTCCCAATTGAAGTGATTGCATATTGGTACTTTGAGTCTTGATGAACCAAGTCAGCATGCGAAACTTGCCGGTGGGATATGCATTTTGCTTAACGAGTCTTTTAAATTATGTTCGGATTAGATAATAACAGATTTTATTGAAGATTACTGGTTTAGTGTTTTTAGTTTTAAGCGAATGTATTGTCAATTTTGAATATCTCTGATTTCATGTTCTCCTTTTACCTCGATTTCGCGTTCTTTTGTTACCCAGTTGAAGGAGTTCATATTGAATGAACCGGAGGCTTATGAAATCAAAATTGGGGATCAAGTTTTCCGTAGACCTGGAGATCCTCCTTTAGAAGCAGTCATCGAGAAGCTTCAGCGCGAGCGGGACAAAGCTGATGATACTACTGCAGCTCCTGTAAAGGACGGTGGGCATCCGAAAGAAGAATTGTAGCTAATTAGTTACCGAATTACTCAAATTATCAGTTCAGTGCAAGTTTAACTTCTAGGTCTCTAATTGCACCCCTTACCAATCATCCCCACCCTCCTGCCTTTTTTTTTCCCCTTTTTATGTCGCTACCATCTGGAATTTGTATCTGTTGCTACATATCAATCACAGATAGAAAGTTTTCTTTTGTCAGCTACTTTAGCCTATAAACAATGAGTAGATGTATGGCCCAGAATCATGGGTGATAATGCGATTTCGTGTAATAGTTGGTATGTGAGATGTATGATTGAGGTCGAATTTTGCACAAGTTACTGATTCATTTGGGTTATATTCATTTTTAATGTCTTTTATTTGATTTATTTAATATACAAGTTCAACCAATGCAAGATTTGACTTTGTTCTCTGGAGTTATCATGCATTGCCTTTCCCGTCAGCTGTGGCTCCCTTCCCAAGTCCTAGACAATATTGTGGCTGGTGTGCAAAGCAATGCATTGTTTACTTTACCTTTTCGCTTTTTGCTGCATTTCTGAGCAGGGAATATTATGTTCCTTTCCACTTTTTGCTGGTCTGCTTACCCTGTGTTCTCCATTCAGTGTTGTTTGAAAGTGGTAGAATCTGGGAAGTACAGTGGTCTTTTGTTAGGCCAACCTAAATAAGTTACGCACGTAACGGAAGCGATTATTTCCTATTTCTATCATTTTGACAAGTGGCAACTTGACCATTGAAAACAACTCAGTTATGACCAGAATAATTGAATCATGGCGTACAAATCACAACACGAGTGACACGTGCTTTATTCATGAAGATTCAAACTGACATGATCAGAAATGAGAGAATTCCTGGTTTACTTCTTGTGAGTTGTAACCAAGCTCGAGCATGAGAAAAAAAACCATGGTATGTATGGAATGGGCTAATAATCTGTGAACTAATTTGGTGAAGCTCCTGATTACTTGAGCTTTTTACTGAAGTCAGCGAGCTGGAGAATGTTAATCCTGGGAATGCTAGCTGCTTCCTCTCTCTCTTTCTGAGTGTTGTATCCCCAATCCCCTGTTCCAGTTAATCAGCATCATTGCGAAATAAATATTATATACTGTAAGAAGGTATGGCATAAAAAACAAAATAAGGCAACAAACCGGTACAGCCTACAGGAAAAGCTGAGGGAGATGATACCTAAGTACAAGTTCCACCCATCTAATTCAGGCTCTTTAATAACATTCTTTAGGGTTGCAAGTCGATCTTCCACAAAGCTGTCCAAGATTTAGAAAAATCAAATCCAATTGCAAATTAAGTTTGCTGGAGAAGAAAGTTGGAAGCCATAAGGTCTGAGAGATTTAGAGATGTAGTGCCCGAATGAAAAATCAGTAAGCAAAAATGGATCTTACTGTAGTTTCAGCCCCTGGTGTTCTGGTCTCCTTTGAAGTTGCTTCAGCACTTCCACCTTGGGACTGAAAGCAGAAATTTAAGTTAATGGTGGGGAGGGACGAAACCATCAATGGTTTTGCATTCCCTACAACACTCAATTAATATGTACTAACCCGGTTCCAAGACCATATATTCTCTCTGGTGGGATTTTCACTCCCGCAAGCTCTTGTAGTAAAGCATCTGCAAACCGGCTCTGAATTGAAATGGAAGAAAAAACAGGAACACAAGGCCTTAATAACAAAGACAGTAAAAGAAATATAAAACACTCGAGCCCTCTCCCAATTTCATTTCTTTTACTCTTCCCTAAAAAACCTGATGAGGGTTGAACTATAATGCCCTTATTCCAATGTCACAACCATTGGTGGGCAAAAGATAAAAAGATAATAGGCCACACCTGTTTTGTGGTGACTATATATATCCTTGAGCTTGCAAATTTAAAAGCATCAGGAACACCGGGATAGAATCTGCAGGCGAGGGCCAATTATCAGGTCCATAGATTTGTTCAGCAAAATCATATTTTATGCAGCACTACTGCTTTTACAAAAAAAAAAGGCCAATATTTGGTTGGCCTGCTAGAGGAGCTCATTGAGATTCAAAGATACCAGCAATTAATCAGTTTTCAGAGCAAAAAGTAGCCCCAGAATTATGTAGAATTAGTCAACCCAATCGTTATAGGCAGTGTGCGAAGAAGGATGCATATAACTGAACAAATACCTAACCTAAACTTCTAAGCATAATAAGTTTGCTTATTATCTGGAGAGATTCTCACTCGAGTAATATCCCCTGAATATAATTTTCAGATTCAAAATTTTCAGCAAATTTGGCTTCAAGCTCTTATGATTTAAGATGCAAGATGCGTGATAACCCTGAATGACTATAATTTGCTGATGAATCTGATGGGGTTATGTTTTGACAAGAAATAATCAAGTTTGGACCATAACTTCCAGTTTGCTTTCCGCTCATTATGCATACTGAAGTGTTAGATATTCAGGCACATCTCTAAAAAGTTGATTGAAATACCTGTTCGCTCCAATCCATGTTGCCAAGTCATTATCCATCCATTCATCCCTGACCTTTCCAAAGAGATCTATTAGAGCATCTCTATTCTCAACCCATTCTTCCATAATGACAGGCTTTAGCTTTGACCAGTTCTCCAATATCCTATCAACTGTCAGTCCCTCTGCAACCTTGCAAATTGAATCACAGATATCAGATCCAGACCAATTGTTTGAAAGTGAACAGAAGAATTCCTAATTCTTGAGGATAATGAACACACTGATAAAATATTCTTATTTCTTTCGTATTCTAGACATAACTTTAAGTCAGGGTTGTGAAAATATGTGCCCACCGAGGTCTTCCGAATGGAAGGGATTCTCAACTCCAGCAGCAACCTCACAAGCAACAGATTTTCATATCCAGTTTCCACCACAGGTCGCAACTGCCACAATGCAAGTCCGTAATTAGCCTCAAACATATACCATTCTACTCATTTTTCTATTCACAGAAAAAGAAAACCATAATAATTACCAAAACAAAGAGAAGAAGAAATATTTTGGCTTTTATACAAAGCATCAGTCTAGGACTTTCCACATAATGAAATCAGAAATTTAGTTTTACAGCTTAATGCAACTGATTTCTCCAAATTGGCCCATAGCACGTCATCAATATTTATGAGTACGCATACAGTTATTAATTATAAGACTCGGACAGCAATTTCACAATGTCGACATTATGGATACACATGAACTTTGAATTATGATCAGGTTGTAAGAAATATGGCCTGATGTTATGACCCATATTTTTAAGTTGGTTTAGGGTTTTCTTAATTTAATAGTATGTTAAATCTGGACCGTTAATTTAATATTTGATGGACGTACAAGATTTAATATTAATAGGTATATAAACTAATCCTCTCTCTACCGTAAAGGAGTATGCAGACAAAAACATAAAAAATACAGAACGTACGTATTTTGGCTATCCATCAAGCCACCTGCTACAGAAAAGAGGGTCAAGGGAGAGAAACTAATTTATAAGGTTCGTGATTGTTGAAAGCTCTCTCTACATCATGATGAATTCCACTCAAGGTAAGTAATTTATTCGCTTTATTTATGTGATTATTATTTTATTCAAGATCCTGAATGGGCATGAATGATTTATGTCTTGATCATTACATGGAATGATTTATGTTTTGATCTTTAAGCATGAAAGTTTGACATGTGACCTAACAAACCGAAGAGATGTGAAATCAACATTGCAGAACAGACAATATGAAATAGATATGAACTAACTATAACAAGCATAAACCTTTCGAAAGCTGCAAGAAGTATAACAATACCCACCATCAACAATCACTTCACGATATAATACAAACAACAAACGGTAAATATTTCTTATCTAACTAAAATAAAGAGTGTTAGGCAAGGGCTTACAAAGTGCATCTGATCAACAATCCAGTCCTCCAAAGTTGAATCCACCGTTTCGAATAAACCTGGCCATCTCACTTTAGCAGCCTATTCTTCATCAAAACAACCAGTAAGGAAGCAACATCATTCTCACATGATCCTCTTTTAATTCCTGATAAATAATTTTTATTTAAATGAAGGAAAATAAATTCACGAGATTCCAAAAATCGCTAGTTGAACAAATCTGACTTGAATTAGTACTTCAAAAAAAAAAAAAAAAAAAACACTGCTTATTTATTAATTAATTGATTTTTCTATAGTTGTATTCCATTTCATGGCAGCTAGAAAGAAGAGGAGAGAGAAGAGAGGAAAGAACCTTGATAGCAGAAAGAGAGCTTTCACCGCAGCTATCACAGAGAACTCCGTCGAAATCTAAGGCATATAGATCTCCCATTTCGTCAAAAGATAATGTCCTCTTGCTCGAATCTTTGGTACCCGCCACTCAACCTCTTATATACTACAACTGCTATCTAGACCTTGTTTGAGTTTTGACTCATGCAAGGCAGCGTTTGATAAGTGGGACGACCCGTCTCTTATTCGATACTGACTTTATTTTTCTTTTTTATTATCATCATTTTACTGAAAGGAGAGTTTAAAACTCTAAACTATTAGGGAAAAAAAAAAACAATAAAAGATATGGTGTATTTACTGTTTCTAAACTCTTCGTAAACAATCAAATTACTGTGGACTATAACTCTATCCAGCTGTTTCATTCTTTGCATACATTTCGACTGTCACTTTTTTTATGCATCTATTGTGACTTTCTTGATTCCGTGCGATTTTTCAATTATTGTTTCTCTTCTTTTTTTTTTTTTTAATTCCTTTTGATGGTCGTGTCCTATTACTCTTGTGCCCCTTTTCTATCGTTTTTTCTTTATGATTCAAATATTTTTTCTGTCAATTCACACTTCCTCCATTTTAACTCCTTTTTTATGCACTTTTCTTTTTAGCTTATTTTCAGTTGTGTCGTGAAAAAATTTTATAATACTCAAAAAATAATTAGTATAAATTAATCTATAGAAAAAGATACATACAAATAAAAGAGAGAAATATGAGAGAGAAAATTAAAAGAAAAAATTAAGTCATGGTGAAAAAATTTCTTATCACTTGATGGGTTTGTATGCGATTTTTTTATATGTTTATCTGTTTTTTAAAAAATAGATCAATAAATTAATTATTATACATACATATATATATATATATATATATATATAAATTATTTTTAAAATATTATAAAATTTCTCTCGTTGCGTGTTATTTTGATCTTACCATAACGCTCTCATTTTCATTCGTTTAGTAGTCACTTTTTGTAAGGGTAATTATTTTTTTGTCAGTGTATTTAATGCACCACGATAATGGTGCTGCACCCCTTTATTTAAAATATATTATTTCCTTAATTTTTCTTCGTTCCCACTGGTTTATGCACAACCCTCAACCATTGTAGACAAATCATGGAGCTTGTAATTTTCACCTGTTATATATATATATATATGTATTATGCTTGCCATTGTATAATTTTTTTCCTTTTATTTTCTCTCTTTACGTGTTCGATATAAAATTTTGAGTGCACACTAAGTTGTGTTTTGTAATGATTACATCAGTATCTTCTTTGTCTACTAAAATTAATTTTTGATGAAAAAATAATTTAATTGTTTTAACTAAATAAATCCTTTGTAAATCATTAATTATCTAATAACAAAAGTAAAATTCATAAACCAAAAAAATCATCTAAGCTACTTTTAAACTAAATCTGATTTAATACTTTTTAAAATTAATTTTATTTTTTAAATAATAATTCAGTTTTTTTACTAGATAGATCTATTACACATCATTAATTATCCAATAATAAAAATCAGATTTATAAACGATAAAATCATATAAACTTTCTTAAAATCAACTATTACTAAAAAATATAAATAATTTTAATTCTCAAATTTTTTTAACCAAAAGGATCCATTGCACATCATTAATGATCTAACAATAAAAGTAAGGTTCATAGAAAAAAAAAACATCAAAGCTACCTTAAAGCTAATTATTGTTAAATATTTTTTTCAAAATTAATTTTAATTCTTAAAAAATTTAATAATTAAGTTTTTTTTTTTTTTTTTTTTTTTTTTTTACTAGAGGGATCTATTAGACATCGTTAATTATCCAACAAAAAAAGTCAAATTCATAAACAAAAAAATCATCTAAACTTTTTTAAAATTAACTATGATTAAAGGAAAAATCTAATTTTTTAAACTAGATGAATTCACTCGCACATCGTTAATTATCTAACAACAAAAATAAGATTTATAAACAAAAAATTCATCTAAGCTATCTTAAAGCCAATTATTATTAAATACTTTTTTAAAATTAATTTGAATTCTTAAAAAAAAAAAAGGATTTGTCCCTTTTCATCAATGAATTCTTAGTTAAAAATCTGTAATAATTTTTAAAAATTAATACGAAATATATTAAAAATCATAGTTTTAATTTTATAAAACTTTGTTGTTAAAACAAAGTAACCATTGATGTAAAAACTTGAAAAAGTAAACAAATGAAAAAAAATATTTTTGATTCTTATTTAATGTTGATAAAAAGATTAGTTTTTGAAAGTCTATATATTTGATTTTGATATATTTATTCATAAAATTATCAACCATATTAGAATAAAAATCTATATTTGAATAATTGATTGGTTTTGTAAAACATAATTTTAATTATTTAATTTGAAAAAAAATGAATCAATAATATAAATGAATAAATAATTAAATATTTTATTCTACATATTTTTAATTGATAGGAAATTTTATAAAAATAATAATTTTTTAAGTTATTCATGTTATATATATTTTTTTAAAAGTAACAACTAAACTTTATACTATCAAGAATAAAATAATATATTGTTTTTAACACTTTTATAGCCTAATTTTTTTTATATCACACTCTACCTCCTCAATCAATGGGTTAGAGATTCTGATAATGAGATTACAAAAAGATCAAAATGCCTTATATAAAATACAATGTTAAACACTTATCATTTACCGACCATCATGTTCCCTTTTGTCTATCCTCTCCCCACCCTTTTCTCTATTCTCTAAACTCATTGACAATATTGAATTGGCACAAAAAAAAAAAAAAAAAAAAATATCGAAGCCATAATAACAAATCGCTGCACCCATCTCCATCTTTTGTCCTTAAAAAGTCCTTCACGTCCACCTAATTTACTCCACCACTGTTGTTAGCACCCATTTTTAACTCTCAATTTTTTCATGATTTTTTAAAAAACAATTCCATTTTAAATATTTTTCTTTAATCAATTTGATTTTATTTTTATTAGTTTTTATGAATTTTTATAATTTTTGTGAGTTATTTATGAGCATATAGAAAAACAGAAAGAAAGGAAAGAAAAAAAAAGAGAGAAATTAAAGAAGAAGGAATAAATTTTAAAAAGAGACATACGAGTGTTAATTTAACCAACTGAGAGGACAAGAACCAAAGAGATATAATTGGGAGCACAATTGAAAAAAATTAAAAATCCAATAGCCTTTAATCAAAGACAAATTCGGCCAAAATGAAAAGAATTAAAAGAAATAGTAAAAAATAAACTCAATTAGGCATGAAATTGAAAACAAATAAAAGAGTATCGGATAAAAAAGAAAACATCCCTTAACAAGAGGGACTAGAAACAAATTTGACTACCCAACCCTAAACCTTACGTATAAAAACCTATATTTCCCCGTTCTTTTTTTCCTTCCTCTCCAGTCGACCTTAACAAAAGAAAACCCCCTAGAAAAATCCTCTCTCTTCTTCTAGCCACCACTGTCATCATCATACCCACTGTCCCCACAATTGTTCACCACCCACAAATAACAATCTCTGCCAACCTCAAGTCTCCAATAGCATCCATCTCCAACAGTCCTAAGCTTCAACAATAGTCATTCTATCGGTCACCAAAAGCCATAACCCGTTGCCTTCTCCTCCAGGCTCGAGCAGTTGTACCACGGATCCAAAACCCATTGCCCAGCCATGTCATCCTCTTTCTAAACCCACCTGTCGTAGGTCTCCTCACCAATCTTCACATCATAGACCCATCTGAACCCACCATTCTTGTCACTCAAACAACTCATTAACAACCATTGAAACTTTAGCCATCACTCACCGTGACTAGAATAACAACCACCATGGTGTTATGAATATTTTGTATGGGTGACTCTCTTGATGAATTGTGAGTTTTCGATTTCAAATATCAAAATTTATTTATTTATGAATTTATAAAATTAAATATTTGTTGTTATGATTGATTGTGTGTTTTTTTTAATTGTTGTTTAGAGATAGTGGTGTTTTCTTGAATAATTTGGAATTGTAATTTGTGATGCAGTTTCGCAAATTCTTACATAGTTTAACACTAATGAATTGCAATTTTTTTTGGCAAAACAGATGAAGTGATAGAAAAAAAGTAATGGCATAAAAGAAAATAGTCAAAGAATAGAGGGGTAGGAGATCATCAACTTATAGAGAGAGAAAAAATATTAAAAGCACAGTGAATCAGCAAATCAAACTACAAACAATGAAAGTAACGAAGATGAATGACAGAGGTGCAACAAAAGAAGCATTGCAGTACAAATAGGTGTTGGTCCATAGTAAAGACGAGTCTAAGTGAACAGTAAAGGAACAATAAATATCTCATATCTTTTAGTTTTTTTTTAAAATGCATAAAAAAATTTAATCATCAATTTTATTGACAAATTAATTGTGCTTCTACACGTATAATATTAATCATTTTAATCATTTGCTATTTTTTTTACTATTACAAACTAATTTTTTAAAATAAAATAAAATTTTTTTTTAAAAGAATCTTCAAATCATTCAAATACAGTTTTTTTTATACCAATATTATTGATTATTTTATAAATAAATATATATAAATAATATATATATTTTTTCAAAAAATAATCTTCTTATCGATATTGAATAATAATATAAATGTATTTTTTTCATTTATTAATTTTCATACAAGTCTATATATTAATTATAATTTTATTTTTTATATGTAATCTTATGATGAATACATTTTTAAAGCTTTTTTTTTAATTTTGAAATAATATTTCAGTTTAAATTATTATAAATTTTTATGTAAGAATGAAGACTATATCATGATTTTTTAAGTAGTTAATTTACGATAAATATAAAAAATTAATTAATATTTTTAAAATTTTAAAATAATTTTTTTTATTTAAATGTAGTCTTAAATATTTTTGGATGGATACCACCCTTTCATCCAATAATCAGCCGGAAACTAATCCAATTGAAAGGAGTAAAGATAATTAAAAGATGAAAAACGTGGAGATTGCATAATGACGGGGCTATATCAGTTTTAACGGACGTGTAAAAAAGAGCCTTCCCTCCCATGCATGAAAAGCCACAAAAAGAGCTAGTTAATTCCCGGTTCGAAAGAAGTTTTAGGCTCCATTTATTTGATGAAAAACAATTTTTAATAGAAAAAATAATTAAGAAGAATCTATTTTTGAGAAGTTGTTTTTCAAAAAAATATTTTATGATGTTTGACAATTATATAAAAAAATAATTGAAAAATATATTTCAGCATTTGTTTGATACAAAAAGTTGAAATACAAAAACAGATCGCGATTGTTATATCAATGAGTTTTGTAGAAAATGTAATAAGATATATATACAATCTCACGATATAAGATTCATTTAAAAAAATTTAATAATTTTTTTTTATAAATATTGACTCTATGATTTAAATTTAAAAAATTAAAAAATAGAATGTACATTTTTAGCTATCAAACCAATTCATCAAAACTACTTGGAACAAAGCCAAGTCAATATTCATATTTAGTAAAAGAAGTTTTCTAAGTAATTATAGCATTGCTATTTTGGTAACTCAATTAAGAATTATTATTATTATTTTTTTTTTTGTGAAAATTGAACTGATAATTTAGTCTAAAAAATAATCTTATAAATTATTAGTTATTATTTGTAGATAATTATTCATTTGGTTTCAAAAGATCAATGTTGAAATAATTTGTAACTAATTATTGATTACAATTACCAATAAAAATTTACAACTAATTAAAATTAGTCAGAAATTATTGGTTTAGTTGCAAATAAATAATATTGAAAAAATGATATATTTATTAATGAATTAATTAGTTTCAATTTTTTCACAAATAATTATAGTCTTATAATAATCATTTTCAATTATTTAAATATAATTTAGGTGGTGTTTGGGATAATGATAAAAAAAGAAATAAATTATTAAAATATTTATCGTAAGAATAATTTTAAGGTGTAAAAATGAATTTTAAGAATATTTAATATATTTATAAATCGAAAAATCAAATGTTAGTAGAAATAGAGAAAAATGATTAAATAATTAATAATAATTGATAAGAAATAATTAAAAATTAATTTGATATATTTGAAATAAAAAAAAGAGATGAAGAAAAAAAATCTCCAAAGAGGTGAGTAACGCGAGAACGAGACGGCTAGCGAAAGAGAGAAAAACATTTTCTTTATTTTTAGCTCAAAAGTCACTTTTTGAAAAATAATATATCAAATTTCGTTAATTAAAAATCAAATTCTGTTGATTGTTTTTCTAAACGCGAAATAAATATCAAAAAATGAGGAAAAATAAAAAAAATGTCTAAAATTTATTTTTCTTAAAACAAACACAGCCTTAGACACAAGTGGAGTAACTATACGGAACCGAGCAGATCAGTATTAACTATTTTCGGACGAGTACGATGCTTTCAGCGAATGATAAGCGGAAACAGTCCAATCGAAAGCGTGTAACGATAATTAATAAGTGAAAAACGTGGAGATCGCATAGCGGCGTGGTAAAATCAGTTTTAACGGACGTGTCAAAAACATGCCTTCCCTCCCACACACGCAAAGCCACAGAAAGAGCTGGTTAATTACTGGTTAGAAAGAAGTTTTAGACAGAAGTAATTGTACGGGAGCGAGCAGATAAGTATTAGAAATACATTAATCACACAACCCAACACGCTTCACCTACTCAGCCGGTCAAAACCATTTGCTCAACCTGCAAAAACAACCGGCCACTGCAGGTGTACTCCTCCTCATCCCGAGAGTAAGAGTCTAGAACCATACCATTACATCCCAATTTTTTTCCCCTCAATCTTCACTTCTGTAGGCAGTTTCCACTCTCGTCAACAAAAACGTCATAGTTTTCGTCTCCTTCTCGCTCTAGATCTCATCCGATTATATCTCTGTGAGTTCTCTATATCTACTTTCGTTGTTTGTATCTCGAAAGATCTCGGCTGTTGCTTTTCTCTGATGGATGGTGATGATGTTTTGATTGATTTGATTATGCTGTGAACTTATGTTTTGGATCTGTAATTGTTTATTTTGACATGATCGATTGTTTCCTAAACGCACATATATCCGTTTTCCGTTTGGTTGAATTAGCTTTTCGTTTGAAGTTTTTTTTTTTAAAAAAAATTATTAAATTGATTTATTTTTAAGTTTAGAAATCATCTTTATTAAGTTGATATTAATTGAAATGAATGATTTTATTAGGTTTATTGAAAGTGATTGATTCATTTTTAGCAGACTTTCTGGTTAGTCAACTGTATTGAATTTATGTTGTTGTGAAACCGGGCAGAAAATGATGGACCTGAAATAGTTTTATTTGGACTGTTATGTGCTTTTGGTGGAAATTTTGATCGCCTAGCTGCTTTACGGTGGAATGGGATTATTGTTAAATTAATTTTGTCCATAATTTGATTGAAGGATGCTTTATTTCTCAATATTTTCATGCGTGTGTGAATTTAGGAAGATAGTGTACCTGGAATATGGAAGGTAAAAATGAAGGAGAGGAGAATCCTTCTCGTGGGAATGATTGGGAGGTTGTATCTCTGACGGCATCAACATATGCAGCTGCTCCTGGTCCAGAAGAAGTTGATCAGAGGGATTACGATAACAAGAAGGCTTTTGGAGAGGATGAGGCTGAAACTTCTCATGCTTTATTCATGTCTCGTCACTTTGTTTTTCCACCGAGTCAACATGAGAATTTGCCACTGGAGTCTGTTAACAGTGAGATTCTTGGTATACATGAAGGGAAGAACATGGCCCCTGAACTTGGTGCAGAAGAAGGAGGTAGATCCAGTAGTAAGAATGAAGAGATTTGGCCACTCAAGGGGTTGGATGAATCTGAAGAGTTCCCTGGGATACAGTTGTTCGATGGGAAGGGAAAAAATGGTAAAGAATTTGAAGAGAGCACAACTCTGCAAGATTTCAGTGACAAGGAACAAAATATATACGGTACAGCTACACTTAGTTCTTTCCACAACGAAACAGCACTTGGTGGATCAACCACCTATGGTGAGGACCTGGGTTTTCCTGAAGTAAATGAACCTTCTGAAAGGGGCTTGGACTTTCCTACTGACGTTCCTCTCTCACCGAAAGCTGCCAAAGATGATGATGACCTTCCTTGTGATACTTGGTGGAAGAGAAGGGCAGCTTCCTTGTATGCTCATGCAAAAGAGGCGAATGCATTTTGGTCCATTTTTGTTGCAGCAGCTGTGATGGGAATTGTAATCCTTGGGCAGCGCTGGCAGCAAGAAAGGTGGCAGGCGTTGCAACTTAAGTGGCAGGCTAGCATCAACAATGAGGTACTTTTTTTTTCTAAAAAAAATTTTATCATGGATCAAAATGTTTGATTGCATATAAATTTTCTTTAAAATTTTACAACTAGCCCTATATGTTATCGTTATGATGGTATAAGTCTGCATGGGTTTTGGGAGCTTATTTTTATGTATTACTTATTGGAGTGAAGCTTAGAGCTGGTTGATTTATAATCACTAAGATGTTTTGGAGACTATGAAAAAGGTGTTATTTGAAGGAAAAGAGAGAGCAGGCGGATTGTGCAGGTGAAGAAGTGGGGAGAGATGCAATGCAATGGTCAACTCGTACCGACAACCACAAAAATTTATTAATTGATAAGAGTCTCCTGTTCTCCATTTTCAATATATATGTGAAATTCCTTTATTTTGTCCTTCTTAACTTTGGCTGCCTGAGCTATGATATGAAAGAGTACAATTGGATTGATTAAAGCTCACTTTACGCATTAGTGGCATTTCAACCTAAGATCACCTGAGCTTCTGGTAACTTCTAGTCATACTGGTAGCTTCTGAAATTTGTACACTAAATCATGATTGTCGCCTTTGTGTAGTGTTGTAAATGCGTAACTGTCACAAAATCTGCCGTAGTACTTCTGCCTATTGTCTTTGAGCAGATTTGAGCTTTTAGCATAAATTAATTCTCTCATTTTTGTGAAAGAATTGCACATCAAGTCATGTTTGTTGCGTTTATGGTTGTTTTTTTCCCTTTCTTTTCCGCCGTATTCTACTTCTTGGATAATTTGCATGACAGCATTTTCCCCGTGTTTAATTCTTTTTGAACTCATCTTTTCCAACAAGTCTGACTTCTATTGTTCTGTTTGCAGAAAAGTGGGAGGATATTGGGGCCTATAACTCGACTTAAAGATGTGATTGTGGGCGGCAATCGACGTGGTTCCTTTATCAGGGGAAGTGCCTCAAGTGACAACTAAGATATTGACGAAAATGTGAGGGTGATTATTACTGTATTTTGCTGTGTGGTTGACCTAATTTTCATAAGACAGAGCTCCATGGCTACATGTTAAAAATTTTATATTGTTGTGCTTCTGTAATTGTGGTGGTTTATCGGTATCTGGCTCGATGTGGGAATACATTTTTCATTGAAGATTGATAGGTAGTAGTGAATTGTGCATCTAAACACCCATGGATTATGATTCTGTGCCAGAGGAAGTTTCAAGTGGCACGAATGTTCCATTTAGAGAAGTACCACATTACTTCTTAGCCTAGTCTTAAAACCATTGAACTGTAATATCCCCATTAAAGTCTCTGGGTTATGCATGCGAACATGATCATTGCGGGGACGATGAATGTGAGTTTTAATGAGATTTGTACATATTTGATCTGGTTGGAAAAGAAAATATGGGGATGTGTATGAAAAAGTTTTTATCTTTCTTGTACCGAGAAAATCGTAGCTCAAAAAAAAAAAACGTAATGATTATATGCTCTTGAAAGAGTTGAAAAAATTGATGATTTTGCTGGTCATCATAAAGCTGGCTGTCCTCAAGTTCTTGTCCTGGAGCATGCTGAGTTCTATTTCTGAGATGGAGATTCGACAGGAGCATGAAAATAAAATTAAGCATTCTGAGTTCTATTACTGAGATGGAGATTCGTGGGGATCATAAAAATAAAACTAAATAGTTCGTTTCCTTTGAAAGCAGAAGAGGCCCAGCAGGCCCAAACACCATCAATTTGATGAAATGAACCATTTTCTTTTTCTTTCTTTTTTGTAACATATCTTATTCGGTCATAATTAGTACTCAACCTCGCAACCCTTAGGAGGTATGGGTAATGAAGGGAATTTCTTAAATATAATAATTTCATTAAAATTATATGTTAAAAGTGATTTTATTTGCTTGCATTGGAATCTGGAATCCCATTACAAGTAAATCTATATCTCAAACTACTCCAACATAAAAAAAGTTTTCAGTCTGAATCATGTAGTTCATTTTACTCGTAACGAAAAAGAAAAAAAAACTTTTTTGCTATAAGAAAAATAAAAATCATAGCTGGAAAATAGAAATCTAAAAGAATTAATGAAGCCATTATGAAAAAAAAAACCAACGTTTTTTTTTTTGCGGGAGAGAGAGGTTTTGCAGCTTTTTATTTTTTTAATTAAGTCTGTTAATAATAATTTAAAAGGAAACAGATGACAGAGTGTACCACCCACACGTCAAAAAGTGCCTTGTTTCAAGAATTAGGTTTAAAAATACCCTATTTCAGTAAAAATATTTAAAAGTAACCCGATGCGGCTGTGCAGAAAAAAACTCATTTTTCTTGCTTTTGTCTTTTACTGCATCGAAGACTTTGACTTGAAATACTTTCTAAACAATTACCGTGCACTTCACCTCACGGGATACAAGCTTTTTGGCGGGAACGCTTCTCATTTTGCATCTCTTAATTTTCTCTCTCCCCCATCTCTCCACCACATTAGGGTTTTGATTCCTAACGAAACGCGCCGTTTCTCCACTCTCCGTCCAATTCTCTCGTCAAATCTCTCAATCAGGTAACCTTCAACTTTCTATCTTCCATTTTTTGTTTTGTTCCAAGTTTCTCTGTTTGGTTTCCGAAAAATGGAGGAAAACAGAAGAGAGTTAAAAATTGGAGTTAGACAAATTGAGCTATCTTAGCTCTACTTTTTCTGCAAGCCTTTCTCTATCTGGTTCTAATTAAAAGTTCCTATATTAATTGATCTATCCCATCTTTTTATTTTAAATTTGATTTTTTTTCATCATCCACGATTTTATCTTACAAGAGAAAAGAAGTGCAATTACTTTTTTATTTTTGGAAATTAGCTATGTTTTTTATTATTAGATTTCATTTTCTTTAATGTTGTTTTGCTGCGTATTCGATGAGTTTTCAGAATTTTTGCTAAATTTGAGAATAATTTGTTGCCACAGACAAATATGATTCTTGCAAACTTGTAAGAAATGGGTAAAGTGGAAAGTCCAGAAATTACAAGAAGAGCAACACGATCGTCTTCTTCGACTGCTGTTACAAGCAATGAGGTTGAAACGGCAAAAATAACTGAACCTTATAAGCCCACACTCAATGACTTTGTGTTTGGAGGGGAACGACTTAGCTTCGATGATTTGCTTTCTAGTTTTCCTAGTAGAGGCAATCAAATTCGTGAACTTTTGCGTCTTTTGGGTCCAGTGAATTCCCCCATGCTTCCGTTGTTTATTTATGGAGGTCCTTCAACTGGGAAAACTAGTACCATTCTTCAAATTTTTAGGTACCTCAGTCGTCCTTTTGTTTATGCTAGCTGTCTTACTTGTTATAGTCCGCGGATCTTGTTTGAATCGGTTTTAAATCAGTTGTTGCTTCATAAGAAGAATGCCGCTAATCGTTATTCGAGTGCAAAACACTGTGATAAGCCAGCTGATTTTGTTAATTTTCTTCGTGAAGATTTGGTGGGTGTAATTGAAAATCTCAAGAGGAGTTCAAAGAAATTGGGTTCAAATAAGCCAGCTGGAAGGCCTAATGGGAATATGCTCTACCTGATATTTGATAATTTGGAGCTTATTCGTGAGTGGGATAAAAGTTCGAGCATATTACCCTTTATGTTTAATCTATATGATTTTTTGAAGTTGCAAGAGGTGGGACTCATATTTATTAGTAATACTTCGCCTGATACATACTACTCAAACATGGGATATACAGAGCATGTTCCAGTTTATTTTCCTGAATATACAGAAGAAGATCTTCGTCAAATTTTGACGAGAAACCAAGAAAATCGGAAGTTGTATTCCTCTTTTCTTGAGTAAGAACGTAACACTCTTTCTTTTTGTCTTTTATCTCAACCTTTTGCTTTGTGTTATCCAATCACTAAATGTGCCTTTATGCTTCTTGTCAACAGTGTTGTCCTGAGACCTTTCTGCAGAACTACTAGAAGAGTGGATGAATTATCAACTGCTTTTTCAGCATTATTTAGAAAGTATTGCGAATCATTGAGTGATTTGGCATCTGTACCCAATGAAGAGATGAAGAGAAGGTTGTTTAGTCATTTTCAGCCACATATTGCCCCTTCCTTAAATGAAGTATTCTGGGTTCCATCTAAATCTTCGACTGAAGTTGAAATCAACAAGGATACGAGGCGGAAAGGCAGCGTTAGAAAGTCACAAGGTTGTGAACATTTTGCTCAGATAGATTTCCATTTGTCTACTTCTGCAAAATATCTTCTCATTTCAGCATTCCTTGCTTCAAGAAACCCAGCTACTCTTGATGCATCCTTGTTTGATTCAACTGGAGGATCTGATAGTCGCAAAAGAAAGAGGAAGTAAGTGGTTAAATTCTGATAGATTACTGGTTCTAACTTTTTTTATCTGAAGCAATTCCTCGTGAGGATTCTATTGTAATATTTACATCTGTTTACGGGGAAAACTGCTCCACTGTTTTGGCCAGCGTTTATTCTTACTAATTTCTAATATATGGATGGAAATTTCCGTGAACAGTAAACTCAACCTGACCTTCTTCAATGTCATTACTGAGAAAAGAAATTACATCCTCCTAAGGATTACTCGTTTGCTCTCTTTTGATCACAATGAAGAAGGAAAGTGTTTCGACTGTCGTATACCTTGTGGTAAATGGAAAAGAAAGGAGCACAGTTCTTTTTATTGCATACCTTATTGCTAGTTCTCTCAACAATATTTTTTGAACATGTAGTACAGGATTATGAATTAGCCGAGTCTGACAAGTCAATTAATCGCTAGAGGTAGGTGGTGATATGAACTGTTTCTCAGTTCTTAATAAATATTTGATGTTCATTGAGTTGCTAATAAAGAAGTATTTGTTGACTACTAATCAAAATACCAAATTGACTCGTTCACCCTGAATGGAGCATTTATTGTTTAATTTAGCTTCAAAACTTTGTCTTGTTTCGTTTGTTGTTACATTTCTTGGTAGTCATAAAAGTTGCATTCTATCATTGAACATCTTCTCAGGGCCTCTGAAAAATCAATGGAACAGAAGGAAGCTGCTGAACAAGAATTACTTATGAAAGGGCCTGGAACTTTCCCACTGGAGAGGTTATTAGCTATATTTCAGTGCATAATATCTGTAGCAGATTCCTTTGATGAAGAGGAACATGAAAATGATGTATTAAGAGTTGAAGGGGATGGTGGACTCATGTCTGATGTTCTATTGCAACTATCTAGCCTTTGTAATGCTAATTTTATTATTAAAGGAAAAAGCTGCCCTTTAGAGGGTTCGACTCGGTATAGATCTACCATTTCTGAAGATTTGGCCTTGAAGGTGTGCTTTTAATCTTTTGCCAAATTTCTTATAATTTTTTTTAGTTGTAATATTTTGAAAGATTTTCTCTCATTTTAAACAATTGCACTAAATATTATACACATTTTGTTTGAAATGGGTTGCAGGTAGCAAGGAGCCTGAAGTTCCCTTTACCAAATTACTTGTACAGAAGATAATCTGTGATGTCTCACCAAATAGGAGTTCGAGGGGAGAAGTGGTCCCATTGAGTGTTTTTGCCTTTTTTATCAGCCTCAGGCTCAGCTGTGCTAGACTGTAAGTTGTTTATATTCAGTTCAGCAACATAACATCAGTATTGTTATATGCGTTGGCTGATCATTCTAAGCTGTGGGATTGATTCAGTTAACCATTGATAGGGACATTTGGAAAATTATTTTTCTTGTCAAGTAGGATCTCAGTTTCTGGGAAATCAATATCTTGCTCTAAGTTTTGCTCTTCTGTGATCTATGCGTTGTTAACTCAGTGCTTCTTCCATCCTCGTTTAAATGTACCTATCTATATACTCACGAGTATATGTATCTACACATGCATTTTGGTGGTTCCTCTTTCCAAAATCTTGGCTTATAAATTTCATGGCATAAAACTTGCCAGACATACTAAAATTGTCTGAAACATGACGAAATGTTCAAGATAGAATTTGACATTGTTTGGTGATGTGCCTACAACATCTTTTAAAGTGTGCTAGTAATATTGAACTTATCATCAAATACGATAGGTTTAAACCCTGCTCAAAGCCTGGGCGAACTGACCAAAATACGTGCCTGGTCTGGCTTCACCTCTTCTTGCTTTTCTATTTTGGTGCAATATACAAACATAAATAGGAGAAGGAACCGCCTTTTTTGAAGATTGTGGCACGTGTTAGCAGTAAGAGAATGCTGACAAGTTTGACTGCGTACTTTCAAGCAGGTGGGTTATTTTCTCCGCCGCCAGCAGCCTAGCAGACCAGACTTTCTATGTGGTACTTTTTCTAGTGTATCTTTTAACAGATTTACGGATAATATTGATGGCAGTGTCTCTGGTGTTAGAAAACGATTAAGTTAAAAAATAAAGTAAAAAAATAAAAAATAATCACACGATATAAAGATTTTAATTTTAAATAATTTAATAATGATATATATTTTATAATTAGATTAAAATTTTTTATTAAATTTTATCAAAATACAAATCATATTATTATTTATAGGGTAAATAATCGAGGTTATAAAAAAAATTCTAACGTCCCCAAGCCCTTGTAATGGATGTTGTCTTCTTAACTCTCGTTTGCTAACCGACTAGGAAGATAATCGTGTCGAACCTATACGGTGTCTTATACTACTGATTTTTATCCACGTCAGTATCCATAACATTTAGTAAAAGTTTAAGCATAAAGTTAGGTGCAAGATTAGTTAGAAAACAGTGGGTTTAACTCTTATGAAATTTGGAACTTCACTGGCTGTGAATTATATCATTTTACGTGCAACTTGGTTACACTACTGATAGACAAACATACATCATCAAGTGCCATTATATCAAAGTCTCACAATATTTATTGCAGATGCTTACAAAACTTAAGATGGTGAAAGAACAGGCTCAAATTAATATCAACCTTGTCAAAGATTTTGGTTAATTGGAGTTGAGGGACAGCTCTCTTCAACCATTTAGTAATGCGTGAACTAGCATTTACATGCATCTAATCTACTCTCAAGCTTCTTTATTATTTTTCCAACGGGTGTTTGACGAGGACAGCAGAGGATAGGTCAACGATTGGAAGATAAAGAATGTAATGGGTATTAGATCCAACACTCAAGTCTTTCAGTAAATACAAACTCCGGCCTTTTTGAACAGCTAAATGCCGATATAGATCACCGAATTTTCCAGCACATGCGACGTCAAAGATGACAGTATAAAAGCCAGGTAAAAAATAAGGTCAGACCCTCTTCTAGCATTTTGTCAGTCAGTAAATCACACCGAGAAATGTTGCTACATAATAAGGACTATAGGTTATTGCAGGCCATATTAGAACAAGACTTGTGGAAACAGGAAACCAAAATTTGAGAAGAAACTAATATCTAAAGAGCATCAACATCATCAGCACATATAGCAGCTGAGATAAAATTACATAGCAATATATTTTTATTCACCAACCACATATTACAAAGCAATACAAGTTCTATACCTAAACCCAATTTGTTACCACATGTAAATAATGTAGATAACAGCACAAAATTACCAAACTTAAAAACTGAAGTGTTCAAAAACAGAGAAAATTTTCCTTTTCACCAACAAGTTTTTGAATCCATGAGTTTCTAATACATATGGATGATCTGCACAAAAGTTCAGTGATATTAACGTGGACATATACTGAAAAAAAAAAGAACTCCCATCTGACACTAAACTTTTAGCCAATCCCATCTTCTGTAAAGTAATTATTGATAAGCTTTTAATTGAATATACAAATTGCAATTCTAGAATCCTGCAACAGATGTTGACAAAAAAACACATCCACTACGAAAGGCAAATTAAAGGAAAAAGGGATAAGAACTTTTCTGTTTCTAATGACTGCAATTCAATGGCTTCATTTTCTCTGCATACTCCAACATCAGCAACCAAGGTGTTTTTCTTCTTCGTGGGTAAGATCCTACAACAATTTCTTCTAGGAGCCTGCTCAAAACACAAATGAAAACCTCATTTACTCGGTGAAAATAAGATCATTTTAATTGTGGAAAATTAAAATATAAGTTTGTCTTGAGCAGAAACAACACAAGAGTTATAGAAGTACTCTTGCTCTATCCCATAAGGAAGGATCAGTTGTCTTATAAACCTCCACTCTATCAATTTTAGGAGGATCCGCTTTGTTCCATTTGCATTGTGTGCGTTGAACCCGTCGATTCTTAACATAAATAAAGACCATCGTCGACTGATTTGTATTTTTGTATGATGCATTAAAAAAGAAGTACACAAATGGCTTTTGACATCCATTCTTAATGTCAAAGTGTTTGTTAAAAGTTAAATCAATAGGATCCAATGTTCTATGCAAACTCATAAATGTTCTCTCTACCATCTCTACCTCTCTTGGAAAAAGTATGTCTCGAAATACTTGGACGGCATAGCCTCAGAATACGGATACAGTCCTTGTTCGTGTTTTGTCATAACATACGGATTGTTGGATGAGTGCAGCAGAGTCTAGTTTTGCTGGGACATTAAGCCTTTCTTAGGCTTGAAACCTGTCCATCTAGGGAAATATTGGTTCAAACACATCAAAGTAGTGAAGAGAGAAAAAGGGTGTGACTGTATTAGCCGCAAGAAGGCCAAAATAGGTTGAGACGGAGATCAATCTGATAAGACAAATATGCACAACAAAGTTTATATTATTAAAGATTAAAAATCAATCTCAGTATTGTAGGAAACAGAGTGCATAAATAAAAACTTGACTAACCTGATGAAATCCTGGTTCTTTAGTAAGAGGAACACTAAGCTCGGACAAACAAGCATGGATCCGATCATCAGAGCCATATGACTCTGGATATCTATGAATACATCTATCTTGCATCTTTGCTAGAGCCTTTGCTAACGGGCAACTTATAGCAATCCTACCACCACCATAAGCGATACCATAGTTAAAAATCATATTCTCCTTATGAGTCTCTGATGTGCTTCCTATATAATAATATTGATCATGGTCATACTTAGATAAGACCAACCAAATTATCTGGAACAAATAGTGTATCATCATCTCCCATCACAAACCACCTCACATCCTCCATGCCTTGCCTCAATGCCTTTGATACTATCCTTGTTAGCGGTAATGCGGTCCTGTCTCCTTAGCAATTTTCGTACTTGAACTTTGATGTGTTACTAGAGATCTTTATTGATGGCAGAAGATGATCATCTGTGGTCTTATTTATCATCTTGTCTAACCAAACTGCACCCCTTATTTCACCAGGTCTCCATCATAATTTTATGTAGTTTTTCCTGTGATTCGATCCATAATTTAGAAGATCCTGCAATGCCAAAAACTATGTGATAAAGACTTGTAGTTTCTGGGTTTTTATGTTCTTCAACATTGTGGAGAATAGTGTCATCAAATTGTTGAATGCTATTGGCAAATATTGAACAATGTTGGAATCTTAGCGAGTAAAGATTGCAGAGAAGAGAACTTGAGAGGAGAAGCCATGGAATTACTTTCAGAAGAGAAGAAGTCATCAAGGAGGTGGATGAGAGTTTCATGTGAACATGTTGATATTTTGTTTTGAATTTCATGATTTACAGGTTTTTACTGAGATGAAAAGTAAGTTTTAATGGAGGCAAAACCCTGAAAGCTAGCTGTCAGAAAATTCAGTGTTTTTTAGGCTATCTTAATCCGTTTGTAGGTAATAACCTGGCGTAAACCTTTTTTTTTGTTTGTTTATACATATATGTATATATATTGGACTCAAAAGGATTGATAAATCAAATAAATAATAGATGTGGATAATTATTAACAACAACCCTCTCTAATTATCTGATTTTGGAACGCTAACACAGTAAAATATTATTTTCAAGACATTTTTATAACGCCTAGGTAGTCCAAGAAAACTGAGAATGGTACTGGCAAATATATGAACAATGGATATTATCTGTTCAAATCACTATGAATTGGTGCATTCCCTTCATCTAGACAACAAACTGGGGCTTCTTTAGTTTTTATCATACTGTCTACAATGACTTGCTGATTAATTAAATGATACGAATATGAGAACTTCCGATTGTGTGGAAAGCTGAAAAACTTTTTACTGTTCTAATGTGTGCACTTCTGTCAAGTATCTTTTTATTTCAGGAACCAGACTTCAGGATTCCAATATGGTTAATTCATAATCAATTTCTCTTTTGATGATAACGAAGAAGGAGACGCTAAGGCTGTTGCCTCTAAAGTAGCAAATAGAAAAGGCTTGATATTCTAGAAAATCACAAACTATACTCGTTTTAATGATTTTAGCTTATTCTTTAAAAATTATATAGAAAGGTCACTAACTAAGCATCCAACAACAATACTAGCACCGATCTTATTTTTTAACTAAATTTCTATCAATGCTGACAAAACGAGTCAACGTAAGTCATGCTAAAGTACACATGCCAAGCTTACGTGGATCCACGTAAGCAGTGATGAGAAAAATCAACTACATGGATCCTATGTGGCACATTAAAGTCCACATGTCATGCTTACGTGGATACTACGTGGCTTGCTAAAGTCTACGTGTCACCCTTCGTCACTTACTATGTCGGCATTGGTCGGAATTTCAGTTGCAAAACATATCGGTACTAGCATTGTTATCAAATACTTAGTTTGTGATCTTTTTATACAATTTTTAAAAAAGAGCTAAAATCATTAAAAAATATATAGTTTTTGATTTTCTATAACATTTAGCCAATGGAAAATAAAGGAAACATATTTCTGCCATGTGCTTTCTTGTTAGTTAACTGACACTGCTACGTTTTGGAATATATTATCTCATATGATTTTGAATTAAGAAAGTCTGACAAACCAATTAACCGATGCTGTATTTTTGGAACATTAAAAATGATGTATTAAGAGTTGGAGGAGGGGATGGTGTACTTATGTCTGATCTTCTACTGCAAATGTATGTCCAGCATTAATCTGTAATGCTAATTTATCATTAAAGGAGGAAGCTGCCCTTTGGAGTATAGAGGGTTCAACTCGGTGTCGGTCTAGTTGTTAGAATCCGAGAATTTTCTAGATACTTTAAGTATCTTTTTGTAATCTTTTATTAGTTTAAAAGGTGTGAAGCTCCTTATTTTGTGGGATTTTGTTTTGAAATACTTTTGTAAGCTGAGTTGGTATTGCTACAGTAATATATGTGCTACAGTATCATGTATATATTTGTATCAGAATATCAAAATGTGATATATTTTGTTTTTAGCTTCTCATGCTCTGTTTTACGTTTCCTTCTCTGTAACTTCTTTTTTCTTCTTATCTTTACCATGAACTGATATTGTTTACACTAGTTCTGAATATTTGGCTCTGGCCCCGAAGTTACACTTTTTATGCCAAATTTACAAAATTTTGTTCTAGGTAGCCTTTGAATGACTTTCTTTTATGTTAAGCAATTTACTCTGTTTGTTCATATTTTGTTTGAAATGTGTTGCATGTAGCAAGCTGGATCCTGAGCCCTGAAGCTCCCTCTACCAAACTATACTTGTACCATGGATAGCCTATGATGTTGTTGTCAAATTAAAAGAAAAAATCTACCAAACAGAAATTTGAGTAGGAAAATGGTCCAAGAGTTGCCTCAGTTTCGATGACACCGAGCTTTTCATATTCAGTTAAACATATATAATTTAAGAAGCTTGGCTGATCAATTTCTTAAGGTGTGGGATGAATATTGTAGTTAACAATTGAAAGGAACATCTAGAAAATCTACTTTTGTCTGAAATATGGCATGATATTTGGATAGTTACTACTAATTACACAGTAGGATGATCATGAGCATACAACGTCGTTTGAGATGTGCTTCCTTCTTCTATATATTGATCTATGGATGTTTTGTTAATTTATTGATCACCATTGCTTCATGTGTAACTCATCTTCAGAAATTTTAAAACGAATTAAGTAGGGAAGCAGCTTCCTGGAGTTCATTTACTAGCTAGGGTTATGGTCTAGCCAGCCCAGCAGCCAGGTGTAACGGTAAGAGAATAGTGGTTAGACAAAAGCGTGATTGCTTACTTTGAAGAAGCTGACTTATTTTCTGCGCAGCTATCAAACAAAGAGACTTTCTAGTTAGGTTGTAGTCTTAATTTGTAGGTCAGCTACTTAATTATATATGATCATTTTATCATCAATCAACTATTTATGTCCTTTTCTTACAATACGATATGGTATATGCGTGGTTTTTATTAATTTGCATGTCCCACAAATCATTAATTATGAATAATCAGATAACATTAAACCCCAAATCTCTATCAGAAGTAAACTAAAGTTTAATAATACATAAAGTCATCTGCAAGAATATTAGTTAGAAACTATGGGTTGAAGTTTAGGAAAAAAAAAAACAATTAACTTCACTTGCAGGTAATAATAATCACGTCATTTCACATGCATGCAATTTGGTAGCACTATATTGCCACATATACCAATTAACGGCTAGCGATTTATTTTAAATGCGGTCAGTTTTTTAATTAATAAATTTCGTTCAACTAATATTAATATCTTCTCTACTTTCAAAAGGTCTCGACTTCTAACCTAACCTCTCTCTTATAACTAAAACCAGAGGCAGCTAGCTTCTTAGCACAAGTCATTCATTCAAATAGACCTTATATTAGCTTGGTTGAAGAAAAGGGAAAAAAATACTAATTTAATTATTCTTTTAGCCCCAAGTTTTCAATGCTATTATAAATTAGTCTTTCATGTTTGAAAACCTAGAAGATACATAGTCTCTTGATTGTTGTTGACCATTCTCTTAATTAGAGAAAAACCAACATATTAATGAGAGTTTAGAGAAAAAAAAATAAAAAATAAAAAACAACGGTCAAAAACAGTCAGGAGACTGAAAAAAATGAAGGACCAAGTTATAACTCCATTCAAAACCGAGGGACTGAAAAATAATTCAATAAAAAAATTAAAGAATATTGTACTAATTTGGTACAAGAATGGACAATGACCCAAAGAATCAATTCAACCCTCCTCCTAAGTTAGCCACCTATATATATGTCCCATGCAGTCTCTCTCAAGTGTCAATCTTATTAATTAATCATTACGTATAATTAAGTGCTTTTATGTTATTGGTAAGCTACTACTACTGCATTACCACAATGGACAAAACAGTTTGACGTTATTCTGAAACAAGCGTATTAAAAATGGGCAAGAAGCTACTTGCTTATATTTTGGTTCATTGGAGAATATATAGGGAATGGCTGAAAACGGTTAGACCATTTTATTACACGCCTAACTCTCATATTAATTTTATGGTTCAGCAGATGCATTTTTTTTATTATTATTATTATTCATATTGAATTTATTGGGCTACACAGCAGATGCATTGTTTGCAGTGCAAAAATAAAAGGTCAACCAGGCCGGATGATCTAATTCCAATACCAAGTCTTATTTATTGATCCAAAAGTCAACTTCCATCAGAATTCTGATCATATTATCTGTGGGCTACGTGGGTTGTGTTATTTCATAAAGGCATATAATGAGGCCATCTTGATTTGATTTTTAATTTCAACTATCAAATTATGAGAAATTAATGAACTACAAAATCTAATTAAGAAGAGTAGTGATACTAATAAGAAATTTGATAATGAACTACAAAATCTAATTAAGAAGAGTGGTAATGCTAATGAGAAATTTTATAATACTCGAGGGGTATTATAAAATTTCTCCTAATGCTAATTATAAATGCCAATTTGGCGTACGTACGTGTTTCACTTGATTTAATTAGTGCTTGAAAACACATAAAATTATATCAATCTAAACATGCATGGTCTAGTTTAAATATCTGGCTAGCTAGCTATCTATATATGGATTTCTTTTTCGAAATTACCTTTTGGTGCTGAATCACAAAAGGCATTAAATTTATCCCTTCTTTTCATTAATATTCACAAGGGCGGATGACTCCCAGCAATCTAAATTCAGTAATGCGCGTGAACCAACCTTTGGTCCCCTTCCCACGTTTATATATATATGTATCTATCTATTCTCAAGCTTCCGTAGTTTTTTGTAACAGGTGAATTATCAGCACAGCAGAGGATATAGTTCAACTGTTTTTTTTTTTTTTTAATAATATATTAATGATCTTGAAGACTTCAGCCACTTCTTCATCATGATGTAGAATTTAGCAAAATTGGAATAATATCTTCTTTTTTAAAATATTCATTTAATTTTGGAAATTTATTTCATTGATAACTATACTGGAAAAAAATAAAAAATCCCCCAATTTTTCTCTAGCTATATACGACATTGGATATATAATAAAGAATGTAATAACTATTAGGAAGGGGTCCAAAATCACCTTTACGTGTAAATTAGCAAATGTATCTTGTTGGATTATTGTAGATGGTTGGGTGACGTGGAACCTAGCTACCCTACCATCATGATGCTGATGCATATGATAGAAACAAGCTGTACTTGTTCAAGATTTGGAATAGCAAGGAATTTAGTTGCATTGGATTAGAGTATAGAGATATATAGCTAGTTAATTCGTACGTATGAAAATTGCAATGCAACCCACGAAAAATCGAAGCACGCATGCTTAATTATGGTAAATTTACTTGTCTCGCAGCTTTAGAGACATGGTTCAAGATGCATGGATGATGATTTTCAAGAGATTTTGGAAGTTGTTGTGGTTGACTTTGAGGTGCTAAGAGTTTCAATTAATTAGTCATAATTATTAATAAATAAATAAATAAATAATAGAAAGATAAAAATAATCACATAACACAGAAATTTACGAGATTTAACAATTGTTTTTATCACACGAAATGTATTATGATTTCTTATTAAGATTTTATAAAATAACGATTTATAAATATAAATGATATTATTTTTATTTATAGCATTAACAATTAAGGTTATAAGAAAAAAATCTAACGGTGTTATACTTCGATCCAATATTTGTAGATCTTTTGAGAGCTCTATCTCCAAGCTCTCACAAGGAGCGTTGCCTCCTTGATCCTCGCTCACTAACTGTGTGTGTAATATTTTATATTACAGGCCTTTATTTACATTAGTATCGACAAATTAACAATATTAAAAACACATCTACGCCTAAAATGTTTTTTTATTTTTTTTATGGAAAAGCTTATGGATCTTAGACTATAAAATGAGAATATTTTTTATATTATATAAATTAAAATTATTAAACTTTGAATTTATTTCATTAAAATTATTAGACTGTATCTGCTTGCTTGTGTCATTTAAAATATTTAGGTTAAAGAAAATTCTTTAATATTTTCTTCTAATTAATTAACTTCCAGGTTTCAAAATTTCAACTCCTAATAACTACCTAGCTAAATGCTGATGTAGATCACCTAGATCTCCTGCTTTATGGTTCGTGACCTCGTTATTCAATCTTCATGAAATTAAGACGTTTTTTTAAGACTTCCTCTATAGATTAGTTTTCTTCCTTTAACAGTTAGAGTATTTTTCAATCTATTTTTTCAAAACAAATCTATCTAGAATTTAAACCATCTCAATGGTATTCTTGGAATAACCAGTTCTTCAATGGTCAGCACCATCCTTGGACAAAAATCTCCAAAATAGAAAGAGAAAAGCTTAAAGAGTGATTTAAGTTGAAGATCGGTTTGTGCAGGCTCTAGCTATAATCTTAGAATAATAAGTTTTGAAGACAAAGAAATTAACAGAATAGTTAAAGTTGATTCAGAGATATGAATCTGATTTTTTTAAAAAAAATAAATAAATAAAAAACATGTTTATTTGTCTGAAAGAACATCTATAAGATTCAATCAAGTCTCAAAACTTTATTGAGGAAACAACCTCACAAACAATTTTTTTTCTTAACTAAACAGTTTGAAGCCACGCACATACATGGAACTCAGTTTAAATCTTAAAGAAACCAATAAAAATAAAAGCATATGTATTTAAAGCCCACATATCAAATTCTTAAAAAAAAAAAAAATCCCACATATCATAAAAAAATAAAAAATACTTTATTCGCAGTTAGTCAAAAAATTTAATCCCTTTCTAAACGAAATGTACAATTGCTAAATGATGGACACAACACAACTCTTCTACAAATTAAATAAGAGTTTTCAAGTTGATTCTTATATATATATATATATATATATATATATATATATATATATATATAGTTTTTGAGTTGGGATTTTCTCTTCCAAAGAGCGTTTGCATTGAACGTAGAGAAAAACAAAACACACTGGTAAGGCCGCCAGCCTAATTCAGGTGATCAGTGACGACGTAGATTTGACTTTTATCAATGCCGCAAGTTGCAAGCATATCCACCACCAAAGGCAGGCACTACAGGGCACACCTTTTTTATCATAAGAATCATTAATATACCAGTAGGGTCAAAACTGTGTGATGAATCACAGAATTGTCGTTACAGCTGATTCATATATACACTGAAAGAAATAATAATGATATATAAAAGAAAAAAAGGATAAAAAGAGAGAGGAAGGGGATTAAGAAAAGAACATTCATCAAAAAGGAAAAAAAGAAAAAGAAAATGAAAAGAATGAATCTAGCTATAATGAATATCACGTTATAAATTGTTGGCTGGGGTTGCTCACCGAACCCTAACCAAAAGCCCACATGACAAACCCATTGTCATTTAAGACTCCTTATAAAGATAGAAATTATAATTGTAAAACCACCAAATTAAGTTTCCAAATGATCACCATACACCAAGCCATCCATGCTTCTTTAAGGACCAAGACTAGTTTTTGTTACGCATTGTGATTGTGTGACCCCTTTTTATTTCTTTACGACGACTCCACTGTTTTTGTGTCTCTTCTTAGTCTCAAAGTTGCTGTCTTAGTTCCTCAACCAATCTCATTAACTTCTCTTCATTCAATGCTTGAATTAATGGCCCTCCCTCCCTTGCCTGCAAAATTAGGTGGCATATAGAGAGTTAATAAGAGATCGAGAAGTCATTTTGAGGAATTGCTAGGTAAAGTAGCAGTTAATTTCCCGTGGGAATTAAAGGAAAACATATCAGTGATCGATCATAGCTTACTTTCTTTTTACCTTTCAAAGCCTCAACGACGTCTCAGGGCATTTATAGTACTGCATATGCATTAGATTGTTCAAGAGAGAGAGAGAAAGAAAGACAGAGAGAAAGAGATGATGCATTGTCAAGAAACCAGTCTGGCCTTAATAATTGCTTTCAATGCATTTCACCTATAAATCCCCTCTCTGTCTCTCTCTCTATTTTGTACTACACTCTCACTTTTCTTCACTTTCTTCTCTTGCTTATAATAATTCTCCCCCTTCTTTTGTTCTTTTAATCACTCATAACCTCCATTTCTTTCACCCGTAAGTTTTCTTTCACCATCTTCATTGCTGCTCAGGTTCTGAAAATATCCCACAAACCCATTCTTTTGTCTTTTTTCTTTTTTCTTTTTTATAGTAAATAAAGCATAAATCTTGTTTTTTCTTTGTATCAAGAGTCTCACATTTTAGCTCCAGTCTTGTTATTTTTAGGGCAAGTTCTGAACAATAACAACCTTGTCATTGCCGAAGCTTGTTCTTCTATCTTTCAGTATACAATCATGGACATATCTACAGCTGTACTTCTTTTTGCTGCTGTAACTACTTATCTACTGTGGTTCACATTCATCTCACGGTCACTAAAGGGTCCACGTGTATATCCCTTACTTGGCAGTCTTCCAGGCTTGGTTGAGAATTGTGACCGCTTGCATGACTGGATCTGTGACAACCTCCGCGCGTGTGGTGGCACGTACCAGACTTGCATCTGTGCAATACCCTTTTTAGCCAAGAAGCAAGGCCTCGTGACTGTCACGTGTGACCCGAGAAACATAGAGCATCTCTTGAAGACCCGGTTCGACAATTACCCAAAGGGACCTACATGGCAAGCCGTGTTCCATGATTTTCTTGGTGAAGGGATCTTCAACTCTGATGGCGACACGTGGCTGTTCCAGCGTAGGACTGCCGCACTGGAATTCACCACCAGGACTCTACGCCAAGCCATGGCTAGATGGGTGAGCCGAGCCATCAAGCTGAGATTCTGCCCTTTTCTTGAAACAGCTCAGAAGAAAGGTGAGCCGGTTGATCTACAAGACTTGTTGCTTCGGCTCACGTTTGACAACATCTGTGGCTTGGCTTTTGGCAAGGACCCACAAACATGTGCACCAGGGCTCCCTGATAACAGCTTTGCTTCAGCTTTCGACCGAGCAACTGAAGCCTCACTTCAGAGATTCATTTTGCCAGAAGTTTTGTGGAAGCTCAAAAAATGGCTTCACCTTGGCTTGGAAGTCAGCTTGAACAGAAGCTTAATCCAGCTGGACGATTACCTCACGGACGTTATAGACACACGTAAGCAAGAATTATTGAATCAACAAAAAGATGGTGATCCACATGATGATTTGCTATCAAGATTCATGAAGAAGAAGGAATCCTACTCAGACACTTTCCTTCAACACGTGGCACTCAATTTCATCCTTGCTGGACGTGACACGTCGTCAGTTGCGTTGTGCTGGTTCTTTTGGCTCCTCACGCAAAACCCATCAGTGGAGGAGAAAATCTTGCATGAAATTTGCACGGTTCTGATTGAGACACGTGGTGATGATGTGGCAAAATGGGTTGACGAGCCGTTAGGGTTCGAAGAACTTGACAGATTGATATATCTAAAAGCAGCGTTATCAGAAACCCTAAGGCTTTACCCTTCGGTGCCTCAGGACTCAAAGCATGTAGTTTCCGATGACGTGTTGCCAGATGGTACATTTGTGCCGGCGGGATCTTCGGTGACTTATTCGATATATGCGACCGGAAGGATGAAGTCTACATGGGGCGAAGATTGCTTGGACTTCAAGCCAGAGAGGTGGTTGTCTTCGGATGGAAAACAAATTATAATGGTCGATTCATACAAGTTCGTTGCATTCAATGCAGGCCCTAGAATATGTTTAGGGAAACATTTGGCGTATCTTCAAATGAAATCGGTTGCGGCAGCAGTGCTGTTGCGCCACCGTCTCTCAGTTGTTCAGGGTCACAAGGTGGAGCAAAAGATGTCATTAACATTGTTCATGAAATATGGGCTTAAAGTTAATGTGCATAAGAGAGATTTGGAGGGTACCGTGGCAAGAATAATAAAGAAGGGTAAAGAAGGAGAGTCACGTCAGTTGTTGCATGGTAATAATGAGGTAATTGCCGTTAGGTGTAACGGAGTTAGTGAGAGTAGTACTGGGAAGGGAGTGGTGGTTGGGGTTGTTTAAAGGTTTTTGTTTGGGTGTTTGGTGGATTTAGAGATGCGTATTTAAGAAGGTGAAGGTACTCCAGGCCATGCATGTGAACAAGGAGTATTACTCTCGTTTTCATGTGGGCCAATTCTGATTTATGTTTCTCACAGAACACAAGAGGGTAGAGCTTCTCCTAGCTATCTATACACATTATGAATAGCATGATCACCATCAACTTTACTATAGCTTCTAAATTAATTTTTAGCTTTCGTTATTCATGAGAGATCAGAAAGAGAAAAGAATAGGGAGTGAGTATTTTTAACTCACTCTTACTTTAATTTTTATAAGCAAACCTTTTATTTGTGAATTTTTATAATTAAGATTCTTTTTGTTTTTGTTTGTAATTCATATGTATTCCAACTTCATTTTATTTATTATTATTTTTTTTTTTGTCAATAATCTTTTTGTAAGTGCTAATTAAGTTTATGAAATTGATTAATTATGCTCATATTGATGGAAATGCTTCATTATTAGTTCAATTAATGAGCTGCTTGTGCATTCTCTTTCTGAATTTTAAGTAATATACATACACCAGCTGGTGATAATTGATGTTAAATTTCTTTGCATTGATTCTGCAAATTTTAAGCTCCCACAAACTTGTAAGTGATGGTTGTGCTTTACATGATTGCATCCCTTCATTATTCTGATGATGCCTTTTCAATTCAGGACTTAATATATACATTAAGAGAGGCCTTTTGGCTGTGGTGGCTGTATATACATATACAGGTTACAGCCTCGGGTTACGGCTACTTAAGCTAAGCGGGTCTTATATATATGTGATTAACTGCTCCATAATCAGCATCTGAAACACTAATTAATTATTTTTTCCACAAAGAAATTAAGAATATATCGGTACGTATCAATCAAACCAGTCCGTGTAAGATGCTCAAAGTTATCAATTGGGAAGATCCCGCAAAGCACTGAAGAGAATGCATGGTAGTATGATTCTCTTAGCTAATTCTATGGATCATTCCATAAGGAGGAAATTTTCATTCTACCTTCTTTTTTCTTCTTTCAGAAAGTAATCTTATGCCCTACTTCAGTAGTTAGTATTGCATCATTCTGAAATGGTCCAAGCTGAGCCAATTCCCAAGGAATTGAAAGATCCGTTCAACTGGGATTCAGTGTAGAAAGAAGCACCTAACGCTACCAAATACACATAATATATATGCACTTTACTCTGCCAGTAGGAACAAGCAGCGCAGACAAGGAAATTAGGAGCATTGGAAGCAAGTAGCACGGAATGCAGACTACAGCTAAACCATGTGCTCCATATTATTAGTTCGGCTTGGGTTCCATAAGTCTTTCTATTTCGAGAAATTGTTGGCAGACCAAGTCTTACATGTTAGTCATGTATAGGCCCAGCAAGAATGAATAACAATGCAAAACATTAGCATGTTCGTTTGGCATTAATTACATGAAATTATTTCAGTTTGCCGACCCTTTATTGCCTACCAGCCATAAGAAATTTTATCATACACAAAAAATAATTAATAGTATATATAGTACTTATTTCTTAGATTCATTTTGAGAAGAAAAATAGACACATAAATATATAGTACTTATTTCTTAGATTCATTTTGAGAAGAAAAATAGACACATAAAAAGAGCGAGAGAGAAAAACAAGAGAGAGAATTAAAAAACTTGAGCGGACGTGAAAATCTTCTTATCACTTTTAATGAGTATGAACGTAATTTTTTTTTTTATTTGTCCATCTCTTTCTTTCAAGTTAACCTAAAAAGTAACTACTATACATATCACTAATTACTCCTTGTGTATTAATGTCAACGGATACTTTTTGACGTCTTAAGTAAGGATGACAATCCAACCCGCCGCCCTGTCCTGTTTAGGACAGGGATAGGACGTAAAATTTTACCCCTAATGAAACATAGGATGAAGATGGAGATGATGATCCCCACCCAACCCCGTCCTGTTTAAGGCAGGGATGAAGAACGAAATTTCACTCCGAACAAAGCACGAGATGGAGATGTTTTTTTAAGGGACAGAGCAAGGATGGGGATAGCAATCCCTATCCCGCCCCGCCTCATTTCCATCCCTAGTCTTAAAGGACTACATGCAAGGCCAGACCACATACCTGATATACACCCATTAAAATGCAAGAGCAGCATCTAATCGAGAACATGGTATGAGTGCATATCCACTAAACTAAATTGCGTGGAAGATAAATGTTGCACTGTCAATTTTATGGAGTCCTGTAGCCTTTTGGTTCTCTTATAAAGTCGGGGTTTAAGTCGAGTTTTCTTAAGCGGATGGGATGCGATTAGAGCATGGTACATATTGCCCATCCTTTACACCAGAACCTTGTAAATATATAGTGATGCAAAGGAAAGGAGAAGAAATGGATTTTTTTTTGGACAAAGAAAGAAAAAGAAAGTAACCCATAAAAAGGTTTTTAAACCAAAACCAAAACATGGCAGCAGCAAATTAAGGGCCTCAAAGATGGTAGGAAAACTTTGATGCATTGGGGCATCCTGGCTTTTAATTATTCATCAGGACTGTTATCCTTCATACGTGCTACATATGTCCCTTTTCTGTGCTCCTATGTCTTTATACTCTGACATCCTTCGTAATGCAGACTGCGCGTTTCTCATGCAGATGGCATCTTCCCCCGTTCTTCTATTATTCTAGTCAAGAACTTTCTCTCCAGTTGAAAACAAGTTCCAGACTAATGTGCCTATGATATAAAGTGCAACGGCCACCTTAAACACATCATCCCAAGAACCTGCAGAAACAGAGATTGCAAAGTAAACAACAAATTTGAAACAAAACTAAGAAAATAAACATGGCCGCAACAGAAGAAAAGTTAGGAGTTAATTTGCTTATAGTATTTTACCCCTTTGGAGTATGTATCCAGTTGCAGCAGTACCAAAGACACCTGCAAGTACTCCTGCAGTATTTGATAGTCCTAACAGAACTCCCTGTAATTGAAATTTATTAGCTTACTTTTGACTAATTTCTTCAAGTTCGTAGATAACTTCTACAAAGATGAAGACGCTACTTTTTTTGTTACTGAAGTGTGAAAAAAGAACAAGAAAAACAGAATAGGTCATCAGAAAACAAGAACAATCCTTTCGTCAATAAACAAGTACCATTTGGATCAAAACATTTTGAAAATCACAATTAAAGGTGATCCACATCTAGTCATGCAGAAGAATGTAATGACTCACAGCATAACGGGGGCCAATATCTTGGTGATTGGAATAGAGACCAGACTGGGAGAATGCATCAGATCCCTGTCATCAACAAAAGTATACCAAGGTCAATTTATCCAAGATTTCTACAAAATAAAAGGTCATCCTAATTTTATAAATTCCACCTGCTTGCAGGCACATATAGAAGGTATTAATGTTACTTCACCAGAAGCCATAATAGCAGTCACATGCATGTAATCGCAATATCTTGGACATCTCAAAACATTTTGAATTTTATGACTTCACCAAACGCCATAATAGCAGTCTCACATGCATGTAATTGCCATATCTTGGGCACCTTAATCGGAACAATTTTTATTTTTATTAGAGAGTTCTATTCTATCTTTTCTGCCCTTAAATCAGATACTTTTCGAGAAAGGAAAATGCAAGCATGCTTGTCCTCCCTCATGATGATATTTGAAGGCCTTTGAAGTTCATTTGTGCTCATGTGTACAGCATAATTTTTCTCTCTCTTTTGGTTTCCCATTTAATTGGGTGTCTGTGGAGATGCTTATGAGTTTCCTTTCAAAAATGAAAAGGGTAAAGAACAAATAGAAGAGGAAGAAGAACGGAAAGCAAGAAGAGAGGAGTGAAGATATCTCTCAGGCAAGACACCCAAATCCAGCTCTGAAACACAGGACAAAAGGAGGTGACGTAGTCTTTCCTTTAGGTGTTCAGACTGCTTGTAACACATCCTCATTCTAAATTAAGCTTTCATCCTCAATTAGAACCTATATGCTTCCATTAAATCAGAGGAAAGGCCATAAGAAAAGCCAGTTCAGGACAGTATGAAGTCATGCAAGCAGGGTCAATCTTCATACTCAATTAGTTGGAATTGGGTACAAATTAGCTTACCGCTTCTACCATCCTACTGAAATTACTTAGATAGCTCATGATAGTATTTGCAGATGATTCATTGATAACGCTTTACAGACAGTAGCTAGAAATCACCTATTTTTATCCAATATTGAATTGGAACGTATCCATGTTATAGTCAGAAACAACAAATATTAGACAATGAATTAAACTGGCGAAGGTAGCATCAACGTAGAACGTATCCATGTTATAGTCAGAAACAACAAATATTAGACGATGAATTAAACTGGCGAAGGTAGCATCAACGTAGAACGTACCTGACTGCATGCCATGCAGAGTACAGCCATAGCAGGAGTCCTGACGTGGCTGAGCTGTGTAAGGAAGAAGGCTGGGCCTAAAAACCCAATTGATTGCATGATCTGCAATATTAACAAATTTTGGAGCAACCATAACTTTACTTGAAGAAAACCAGGTAGCAGAAATCATTGGAAAAAGTGGAATGCATGTTTTATTACCCATATTGGTTTTGCATTGAGCTTCTTAAATCTAATCAAACCGACAGGTCTCAAACTATTTACTTCATCTGACAAGATGCTCTCAAATTATTTACTTCATTTGATAAGATATACTTAAAAGAATCCCATATACATATTTTTAGTTCAGTTATGTGCGTAAAGGTTCGATTCTACATGCATTCCCTAATATTTAATCCATATAGTATTTTTTATTTGGCAAAGAAAACCATCTATATGGTTAAGGCCGTGACATCAGTGTGGCCTTTCCATACTAGCATCAAGGCAAATAGGCAAAAGCCACTTGGACAACACCAATGCAGTTTGGATGATGTGGCATATCAGGATATAGACTGACTGCTCCTTTTCTCCTTGGAAAACACACACAACACCATTGTTCTTAGAAACTTAGAATCCTCCTTGCTATCATAGGATGATCAGTCAATGCCAAAAGCATGTATTTGACTTATTAAAACCTGATAGTACCTAAACACAATTAAGAGTAAGAGCAGTGTTTAATCCTTGCCTTCCGAACTGCTGTTATAGACAGACCTCTGCTCACAAGTGTGTCGGCAATCCAGCCTCCTATATTTGCAAAAACAGCCATGGTCAACCATGGCAACACACATAAAAGTCCTGATTCGGTGAGATTAAACTTCAAAACCTGACAAAACAATCACAAATGGAAAGAAAATATTAAAAAAAAATTATTAACAAGTATAAATAATACATACTAACAGAAAGAAAAGGGTACTGATTACTGATATCTAACTGTAGGAAAGCAAATTTTTTATCTGTTGAGATGCGTGTAACTTAGTTATTTTAAAATTATAATGTTCAGATCCTTAGAGTGGATTAGCTGATATCACACGTAAAAGCAAGTTCAGCAATCTTACAGTGGATCAATTACCTGATTGTAATATGTAGGCATCCACGTTAAAAGAATAAAGGTCCCCCAATTATGACAGAAGTGAGAAATGATGAGAGCCCAAACAGGGGCTTTTGATAATATTAACTTCCAAGGAATGACTGTTACAGGTTCCTTTGATACACTGTTGCCCAAGATAAGCTTCTTTTCCCGCAGACTAAGTTCTGGATCATCCTCTGGGGAACTATATGCCTGGAGAAAAAACAATAAAAGCGACAGAAAATTTTCAAAGTTCAGTTCCATGGAGTGCCACTGCTATAAGAAGTTACACAATATACAATCATTGTTTTCATATTTCAGTATGTGCTATCATCAGTCAAAGCCCCTCGGAAAGTTTCACGTTGTATATGAAGCACATGCAATCACCAGCGATATGATTATAATTATGGGGTAGCAAAAACAGATGGTTTCTTATTCCATTTCGTAGAATCAACATCACATCATAACGTAGTTACAGTTTATTTTGGCCTAATGTGAAAGACCATCAATCAAGTCAGAAAAAAATCATTCTACGGATATTGCCAAATAAAGGGTAAGCATGTAACTCTAAGTTAGTGTTGTTATTTTTTCAAATTTTGTTTCTTCTACGAACCATACATAGAATTAGAATTCAGTGGAAAAAAACAGCTGAAAGAAGCATAGACTTGCCCTTTTGAGCCATAATGCAAACCAGATACTTCCAAGGGAGCCAAATGAGTAGAAGACAGATGGCCATCCAAATTTATGGATTAGCATGGGGGACACAGCCAATCCTGTGACAGAGCCAAGATACATTCCACTATAAACTAGGGCTAGTGATCTGCTTCTCTCGGACACCGGAATCCACTTGGAAATAATGTTATTCATGGCAGGCATAGCGACACCCTGTACAGAAAAGTAGATCACCATTAACATGAAAATCCTCTATCTGCTTGCCAAAAAGCAAACATCACCCTTTTCAATTCAGATGAGTTGATTCAAGGAAATCAAATTAAGAGATAAAAAATCTTCCTTCTTTTTCTTTTTAAAGACCCAAAAACAAAATTAAGAGAAAAAGTAAGATGATTAAACAAATCACAGAGAAGGTGACAGTGAAAAGAAGATTGAAATTTCATAACTGAGACAGAAATTAAAATCATTCATCTAATTGAGATTTTCTTCATTTTGCAGTATCAAAATGCTTATAAAGATTACAATTATATAGAAAAAAGATGCAAATAAACCAACCTCTCCAATCCCCATGAAAGCACGCATCATAAGCAAAAAAGGAAGCCCAATTTTTGCAGCAATGGGGGTCAATACTGTAGCTATTGACCACCAAACCACTCCAAAACCCAATACTAGCTTTCCACCAATTTTATCTGCCCATATGCCTCCAACAATCTATGAGCCCCAAAAATGAAGAGTTAAGGTTATGTAATGAACTAGGATAATTTTTTCCAATTACTGGTTCTTGAGATAGGGAAACATAAGTGTACTTTCAAACAAGTGCAGAATAACCATAAGTGCATGCTGATGCATTAAAAACTTGGTCAATTTTCATGCATCTCTTCGATAGTCTGGTTCTCTAGAGCATACCTGCGTCAGTAGATAGCCCCAGAAAAATGAGGACTGAATTAAACCAACCGTGGCACTGTTCCAGTTGAACTCTTGTGACATGGGAAGTATCGCAATGCTCATGTTAACCTACAATTAGCATTTGAATAAGGTAGCACATTCAGATAACAGGTTCAAAGTACAATAAATAACTGGTACAGCTCAACTAAGTGTCAATCTAAAAGTAGTTCCATGGTATTTTGAATTGCTCCCTGCAACTAAAATGAATGTAAAATTACTTCAGAATTAGAAGCGTAACTTCTGGGATTTTTATCCCTGACACGAAGAATATGGAAGCATGTTTACTTGATCAAGAAACTTTAGATTGTTGTGACATGAAAAAAGAAAGGAAAAACTAAAAGAACTCACACGGTCCATGTTGCATAAGAGAAATGCTGTAAAACAGAGTAGTACAATCAGCCATCGCTTTGGAAACTGTTCCCACCAAGGAGATACTAAAACAGCCTCACTTGACCCCTCTGCTGACTTCAGGGAGTCCACAGATGCGGATTCTGTTATCTCATACTCCTCGGATTTATAATAAGGACGGGTTCTATCCACCTTGACATCATTGAAATGCTGGCATTGCCCTTTGTTAGGTCGAAGCCAACTGCCAAGTGAGGGATCTGCAGAGAGATAACATTTGCATCTTCGTATTCTTTGTTGGGGATAAGTTGCTAATGGTTTGAAAACATTTTCATCAAAATGACCAGCAACTTGAAGAAATGAGGGATATGAAGATCCAGAAGTGAAACCATTAGCCATTTGACAATGCAACTTTTCATAGAAGATGCTCCCCTGTGCATACCGTGCAGAAGCAATGCCTGATCGCTCTCCCCTATGATGTGAAATGGTTCTTTCAGTCGGACAGACTTTGCCTGATAATATGAGAAACTCAATGAAACAAGTTACCCTTGAAAACTATCTCGATGCAGATATAATTTGCACGAACTTTGATTAAGCAGCATTTAACATAAAGTTTCAGCTATATGCACAATTTAACTTTGAAGAAAACAAAGCAGCAGATGGTGCTATAAGGTGAAGGAAAAAAAAAGTACAATTAACTAACTCAGCAACCACTAAACAGTTTGAATCAATTAAATTGGCATGCCATCATCTCAAACCCTTACTGGACTCAGGTTCAAGTATCTTAGAAAAGAATATGGAAAAAAAATAATCTAAAATTGTTCTTCAAGAAACTATGGGTCCGCACAACAAACCAATTGCACAGTGCATATCATATTGAACCCACCATTCCAGATGATGTGTCACAATCTGATCGGTTCAGTCAGAATAATGGAGCTAATCTGACATGATGAATTTTCCAGAGCTGCTATTGAATAAATAAGCAAAATCATTTTAAACTTGACTGATAAATGCTGCATTAAAATCTAAAAATAATTTGGCAAATACGTTCCAAAAGCGGCTAGATAGAAGTTACATAAAGCCAAGACAAACTTTTATTTCTAATTTTCATTATTTTAAATAAATTAAACAAGCTTGTAACCAAAAATAAATTGATTAAACAAGCTGAGGTAGAGTTGCATGACCAAAAAAAATTCTGCAAAAGAAAAATCAATTCGGAAAAAAAAAGTAAATTTTGCATTCATAAGTATACTAAAAACTTCACAGAATTCAGTAGTAAATCCAATAATATAGACAAAATTCATCACTAAAAAAATATAGCAAAATCATTTTAAATTTGACTTATAAATGCTGCATTAATTCTAAAAATACTTTGGCAAATACGTTCCAAACGCGGTTAGATAGAAGTTACATGAAGCCAAGACAAACTTTTATTTCTAATTTTCATTATTTTCAATAAATTGATTAAACAAGCTGAGGTAGAGTTGCATGCACAAAAAGAATTTTGAAAACAAAAAATCAATTCTGAAAAAAGTAAATGTTGCATTGCTAAGTATACTAAAAACTTCACAGAATTTAGTTGTAAATCCAAGAATATAGACAAAATTCATCACAAAAAAAAAAAAATGTAAAAGGAAGAAAAAAATCAATAATTAATTGCACGCACTGAATTTCAAGCTGATAACACATGGACATATAAATATTTATCGATTTCTTTCAATAATCTTACACAGCCTTCTCCACTTCAAATTAGAATTCAGATTTGACAAATAAAATAAAATAAAATATCAATTCCAAAAACTCTAAATGAGTTAAATAAAACTATCTCATTCCATAGCAGAAAATTACAGCGTGAAAAAATAAACTAACAAAAATGCAGTTACAAACTCCTCATGCCACAACCACCAAAAAAAAAAAAAAAACAGATAAAGTGAAGATAAAGTCAAAAAATGGTAAATAAAGTAAACAGAAGTTAAGTGAGCTCACCTGAGACTATAAAAGAACCGAAATTCCGGTTCGAAATCAAACCACCGATAGCCATTGCTCAAATACCTTTAACTAGCTGATCGGAGCTAGCAGAGAACTATAGCATTTGAGAGCACAAAGATGGAAGGTTGAATTTTGAAATACAACACCGTACTTTACTCTCTCTGCTTATCAAGCTCTGGTCTTTCAGTCCAGAGAGGATAAACAGAAAGAAATTTTTTGTCGACGATTTTATTTTATTTTTTCCCAAAAGCGGGAAAAATCTCAGTGGTGCTTAAATGCACGGAAACGAGGGTAGAGAGTTTGACACGTCACATATCATCCTCGTGAAGGAGAGGTTCCCAATAGAAACTGCCAGAATTATTTAGATGCCCCTCCATGCAGTTGGAAATGGTGGTGGACTTTGCGGATAAAGTTTGTAAATAAAGGATGGTGGTTGGGTGTTTTTGGAAATTGAAATGGGGAAATGTGTATTGGCCGTTATTATCGAGGAGTTAGCTATTTCTCCATCTCAATAGTTCCTCTCGGATCACCGGAAAAGGTCGCGAGAAATGATTGAAAATGGAAATCAACTTGAAGAATTGATTGAAAATGACGTGGAATTCGCTATTTCGACACGTGGAAATAAATTATATTTAAATTATGATGACGTAACACAGGAATCTCTGCTAAGACAAATGGTTTAACAAATTCTCAACCACATTATATTGTTAAGAACCATTTCTTCGAAACCATATTCATACTTTATTGGCTGATTTTTTTTAACCTCTTTATCCTGCATTACAAAATAAATTGCTAAGTGTCAACCATCCTCCGTCGCAGATTCGCAATCGTTTTTTGGAACGGTGCTTGACTGGTTGTAGTGGACCGAGCTTCAGTGGACTCTGTATGAATTGTGGCCCATGAATCTCTCAGGGTTCGTTTTCATTTGGGCTCCTTTAAGGCTCTTACCAAACATTATTCAAGTAAGATAGCTACTCCAAGTTCAACGCAAAATGGAAAAGATGCAAATAAGATACCTGAGATAACAACGGCAACTGACCTCTGTTTTTTTTTTTTGGTTAGAAGGCAGGTATACTTGTAGATCTTTAGTGGAGTGGTACTTCTCGCTTCGTCGAGGGACGCGGAGTAATGTCTCAAGTTCTTTTTTTTCATCAAAACAGTTAAAAAATATTTGAACTACATAATTAAAACATAACTTTTTTTATTATATTATATAATAAGTAAATAAATTAAATCCACTCAAATTTATAATCATGAGAGATGTAGTCTTTCTTTTAACATCTAAATAATCATTAAAGACGAAAAAACCAGCATTGTGCGAGGTCAACTTCAATAGAAGACAGTGTTAACGCTAATGACATATCCAAAGACAGGGAGATCGCGAGTAGTTTCTGCATCAAATGCTCATTTTAATACAGCAAATTTCACTTGCTGGTAATTCATAAACATTAATTTTTTATCAATAGTCAATCACATTATAAATCGTACTTCAAAATTCTTAAAGCTTTAACAATTCTAAACTTCAAAATAGGTATCCTTCCAAAACAATTTTATAATAACACCACACAACCTAAGTTTTTTCCTCAAACAATGACTTAATGACGCCAAATTACTAAAAGATTAAACAGATCTCCCTCCAATCAACTCCATTAACCACAATTCCCTTATCATATCGCAAGCCCTTCTTTTATTTTTTGGTACTGTACATTGACTCCACCTTACCATCATTCCCTCCAAGCAACAGATACTTGTCCTTTCTAGTCAATCCAGTGCTCTCAAACCCTAGCACGTCACCCAACACTTTCTGCACATAATTCGCCACCTCAATCGAAGATTTGCCACCAGCTTTAACCGTCATTTCCTCCGGCAAGCGATCAAGGAATGTCGCTTCATAAGTTGGCCTTGGGTTCATGAAGAAAAAATAAGGATCCCAAAATTTGACGCCACGCACGGTAGTGCCATAAAACATGTTTTGCTTACAATTGACTGCCACGGGCACAATCCTATCACTCAACTCTGCAAACAATGCACTGAATCGCAGCAAGAACTCCTCACGACATGTGGTTCCCTCTGGACACACCACTAGGTCACCCTTTTGAAGTATGGCTGATATTCTTGCAGCATCAGCCGCACGATCACGAGTCAAAGCAATGGCTGGGATTGGCGAAAGAAACCTCGAGAGACGGCTTACGCTGTATGTGACACACGAGACTTTGCGTCCGAGTGCTATAGCAATGATAATTGGATCAAGGGCTGTACGGTGATTGCAAACATAGAGATTTCCTGGGGTCCCAGGAGATGGGGCAGGAGGTGGGGTCCCACGAATGACTAAGCGAATGCCAAGCATCTCGTATGTGTACCGTACGATGCGTTCTGGGAGTGGGAGATTGAAGTAGACACGAATTATGGAGAGGATGAATCCAAATGGCAACCAAATGTATGTGATCAAGGCATTCAGTGGATCCGGACGTTGAACTAGACGGCCATCATGGAAGATAATACGATTTTTAAGACGATTCCGCGGTAGTGGAGTCGCTGATTTGCTGCGATGTACCATGTAACCCTCCTGTTTATCACAAGTTAGCAAGCAATAGATTGAAACACTCATATATATATATATATATATATATGAGTGAATATACGTTTGGAACCAAATAGCAGCAATAATAATAACAACTTACAGAAATATTATTACTGCTAAAAACCTATTTTTGTTATAGTTCGATGTAAATTTCATGTAGCTATATTTACACGAACTAATTCATGAAGTTCAGGTATTCCCGATTAGTTTGTACACATTCATTGCTACTGATCCCCCAGTTATCAATTATGCACTCTCTCATAAGACAAGAAAGAGTGAGGTTTCGAATTTCAATCCCACTCTTAACTGAGAAAAAATAAAAATGGTTAATCAATAAATCGAACTTTAAGATTGGGCCAACAGCAAAGAGCAAAAACATATTGCCCAGACAAGAGAACCAATTGTAGGGTCTAAAGGTGATGAAAGGTAGGCCCACAGGGCCACAATTCATTAAGCCCAAATACTCATACCTGAATCAGCGGCTGTCGGCCCCGTTTTTAATAAGCGGCCAGAACAAGCTGGCATCATTGACAAGAAAGCTAAAAGCTTGAAGGGGACCACGTAATCGTTGACCTGACAGCCTTACACTGGCAGGTAGTTGGGATTGTTAAGATTGTGGGTCCCGTGAATTTTAAACTTCAGCCCACCATTAGCAAATCTTGTCACCTACGTTCTCAAGTCTACTTCAACATTTTTACTTCAGCCATTTAGCTCAAGCAGACAAGGACTAGTAATTTACCAATTTACATCTTCATCAAAGCAACAAGATTCTAGAATTGGAACTAGTTACAAAAAAACGTATGAATGAATGGTTTTTCTACAACAAATAATAAGTTATGCTTTAACAAAAATGAAAGAAAATAGCAATTTCTCATTAGAAACGCCTACATGTACACCTATCTCCGCTCTCGTGCTTCGCGCCAGTGCACGACCATTATGGGAGAAACGCTCATTGGTTATTAGACTTTACTTGCGATAGCAATACTTGAATGACTATGACAATTGACCGTACTTTATTTCATGTGATTAATTTATTAGCAAACAGGTCCACGTTGTTTATAATGAATGCAACGTTGTTTGAGTGATTTCATAAAAACAATGAAGTGGATAAAGGTATTTAATTTGGAGAGGTAAGATAATTGAAGCACAAACCTTGCAAATGGACATGAAATCATGATCAGTCTTACGGTCACCAATACCAAGATCCGTTGTTTCCTCTCCAAACTCCTTTAAAATAGCTAATTTTTTCCATTTGCCCACCAAAACACCAGGCTTCTTCACATATCCTGTAGCCCTCTTGGTCTTTGGATTCACTTCAATTTCCGTGCCCAAAACCTTATCTCCACCAAGAAAATCCTTCACAAATGGTTCGACCATTATAGTTGGATTTGCTGTCACCACCACCTTTCTCTTGCACCTATCGAATACCTCATAACTGTCCGATCTAACATCTGCCGCATAAAACCTACCACAACCATCATCATAATTATTTAATTAATTACTAGCATTAATGATAAAACTACTCCCAAAACTCAATTTTTGTTGATCTGAAACAATTTCAATAAAAGCTGACTGGGACCCACTTAGTCCATTCAGATGAACAGCTAGGGATTGTTGTTAAGCCAGAATCAAAAGGAGTCGTTTATGGGAGCACCACAGACCACATAATTTATATAGCTGTTGACTAGTTGTGGACCTTTGTACTTTCTCATCAAAAAACTTTAAAATCTATATAAAAAACACTTGAAATTGTTTTAATTTTTATGAATTTAAGTATAACTGAAGATGGTTTAGCTGATAAAATTATTCGTTAAAATGGATAGCAGACGTCAATTTTCAATCATGCTTAGAAATGTAAAACAAAGTGATGTTATGGTATTCCTATATGACGAAAGAGGTTTCTAATTGGAGACTTTAGTCTGTGACACTTAAAAAAAAATTGTAAAATATGTAGTGAGCATTTAATTGAACAAAATCATTGTCAAAAAAAAAAAAATTGATTCAGGATAATTTTCACCATTGTTTTTCTTTCCTGCTTCTCTTTAAAGAAAAAAAAACATTAAACCGCAATTAATTAATTCAAGAAAGTCAAATATCAAGCACTTTAAAATTATAATTACCTAGGCAAAACAGCGCGTGAAACAAGTTCAATATCGCGGATCTTGAGCCCAGACATAGAAATGAAGATTAATATTTGTATCCCCAAGGCTTCAGATATGAAGAGGTAAGACACGATGACGATAGGCAGTGAAAGAAGTAAGACGAGACCACGCAAGAGGCTGCCAGCTTCAATAGCAACAAGCATGAAGTATGGGAACGAGCTGCTTGACACAAGGAGCGTGCCATCAAGATCAGCTGCTATTGACTGGTACGTCGTTCCTTTACAGGCCGCTATCGGAGGAAATTTTCTAGCCGGTTTAGTTGGCGACATGATAACTGTTCTCTCTAAAATCAACTGTTTTAAGCTTCTCTCTCTGCTTAACTTCTCCTCTTCTCTTCTTTCTTTTTGCAGAGCCTTGAAGTAGGAGAGGGAACGACCTGTTTTAAATGTGAGCGCTGGCGAATGAAATTACAAAACTAGGCCTGGAGGAACTTTTCTTCTGCGAATTAAACTGGCTTTTAGCTGTTAGTAGTCGTGGTTGTAGAAAATGTTTGATAATAGCTTTTATATAGCTTTTGGAATTACAACCAAATACCAATTTTTCATTGATTTTTTATACACAAACCCCAAATGCTCGTAAAAACCTGAAAACACCAATTCGTCAAAGACGGTCTACGGTCTGCCATGCCCCTTTTTTCAGCAGGGCAGGTGCAACTACTTGTGGCAGCGGAAAAGGCCTGCTTAAATTAAGAGGTTGAAAATTACATTTCACTTTGAAGCAGGTCTAATTTACTTTTCCATTTGTGAAAATGGACCATCTCATAAAAAAAAATAAATAAATAAAATAAAAATAATAATTGTTAGATTAAGTTTTTTCATATAATTTTTATTATGGGAGTGATAGGATTCGAACTCACAATTGTTTGATCATTAAAACTTTGATACTATATAAAAAAATATTTTATCTAATAACTTAAGTTGTTAAATGAGATCTAAAAATATGATTTATATTATTCTCTAACAACTTATTTCAAAAATAAATTAATTGTCTTTATCTTTAGTATTTGAACTGTAAACTCATTTAGCAAGTAAATTTACTCTCCATTCCTTTGAATTCAAGTTTAAGAAAAGTGAGAAAAAAAATTTTTAATCTATACACCACAACAAATATGGATGTTCTCTCTAAAATACAAATAAAAAGAAATCAGTTCCACAACTGACGAAAAGTAACTTGATCATTGAAACAAGGAAAAAAAGGTAATTGACATTTTTTTATTATTATGAAGTTTATTGGATCAGTAATATACGTAATTATATGATAAATAATAAGTGTTATGATATATTTTTATCTTTTAAAGTTTTCGGGGACATTATTCCAAATTTCAAACATCATTAGTTAGCACTTAGTTAATGCTAATTCAGTGCTTCAGTGCTTCCTAAGGAAAAAAGGAGAAACATAAATTTGGCAAATTTTTGTTCCTAGGATTGAATTTGAACCGTTCCTTTACAGCCATCGTGTTCACATTTCTGGTAATTCTACGCTCGTATCACCTGTTTCCAAAATCAAATGCTATCTTTAGATTTGGTAACTGGCAATAATTAATGGTTAACAGCAAAAGTAAGCACTATTAGTTCGTTCTTCAATAATGGGTCGACGCTATGCAACCAAAACTTGCACGCAATATCTTTTTTTGGTTAATCAGCAGAAGAAAAAAGACCTTACTTCTGTTGCGAAAATTGACTCAGGTCCAAACGCGATTTTATACACGTTAAAAAATAATAATAATAAAAGGAGGTAAAATGGGGTAGCTTCAAATTACCCCATTAATTAATTCACGGCTAGAAGTGCGAAAATGTGCTCGATTTGAGGGTCCCAACTCCCAAGTGCATGGGTCCATTGTCGGATATACACTAGGAAACTTGTGATATTTGGATCGCGTGTTGATTGCGTTTTTTTAAAAAAAATTGTTAACTCTTTTTATTTGAAGGTGTGAATTTTAATTTTTACTATTTGAATATATAAAATTATAATTTTTTTATTTAAATGATTTTGTTAACTCTTAATAACTTTATGTAGATGTGATCGTTAGCCTTACGCGTAACATTCTTTCATTGGCCTCGTTGTCTAACGCATAGTTATAAAAATAAAAAATAAAAAGAGTTTATTGTATATTTAGTGTACGAATTTGTCAATTTTTTAATTTTATTACTATATGAATTTTAATTTTACTATTTAAGTGCAGCGACTTATAATTTTTTTCTATTTGAGTGGCTTTATCAACTATAAGCCGATATGTTCGTTAACTCGTACATCCGATGTTATCACATAGGCCTAATACGTAACAATTAAAAACTTTACACCATCGAATTCAAATTCAAAGTTAAAAAAAATGTATATTTAAATGTTCGTATAAAAACAATGCTACTATAAAACTAAACAAAAAAATCTCTAACTAGTCTATTTTATTCAATCCAGATTTAAGCAATCCTTCACTTCAAATTAAAATCCAATTTTATCTTTGTCAATTTCCAAACAACCATCATTTACTTTAAGACCATGATCAATATTTCCAATTTACCTCCTCATTTCTCAAAAAAAAAAAAAAAAAAAAACAATAAACCAACCTACCACATCTCATATTTAGCAAGTGAATTCAATAGTTATGCACCACTAACAACAATTACGCCCACCGCTATAAAAAAAAGAGTCATTGTTGTCACTAACATCAAAATCTACTACCACATATTATAATCGACAACTATTACCAAAACATAGATGAATCTGAGAACTACAATTGCTAATGTTGGAGGGCAAAATAAAGAAAAAAAAATGACAATCGATCTATCAATTTCCAACAAACAACTATTGCTTCAACAATCGTAGACTTCCAACTATTGCCAAAAATGAGTTTTACTTGTCTCGAAACTCCCCTCATCAACCCATTTGATTTCGAAACATAAATTGGCCTGATCGATATCATGGAAAGAATCTAGTATTTAATTTTTTTAGTTGTCTTGTATCTGACAATAGAACCACATGACGATACTATGTATACACTTAACAGACATGTCATTCTAGATTTAAGAGAACTGCTCACAAAGGAAAAAAAATAAAAAATTACAAGTTGGTATTCTCAAATTATAAAAATTAAAATTTATATACTCAAATAAAAAAATTAACAATCTTGCACACCATATATATATATATATATATATATATATATAGTCATGTGCTAAACAGTGAAATTCACATAACAATATTATATATGTAGTTAATGACTATATCAGCATAACTTTAATATAAATTAATGAAATGATTCGAATAAATAAAATTACAACTTAATATATTTAAATAATAAATATTAAAATTAATATATTCGGTTAAAAAAATTGACAATTTTGTCCTTAAAAAATTGTATTCTAACTCTTTGGGTTCGCATAGATCTGCACTGTTAACAATTAATATTGTTTGCATTTTTTCGAGAAGATGGAAGCTGTGCGCTGCTGAATCGGTGCCTAAGCATATGTATTTATATTTTCTACTCAACTAAAAAGTCCGAGTCGTATACCTAAACAGTGACTTCCACTACCATGCATATGGTTGGAATCTGGATAGAAAGTTTGATGGTTCTCGCTAACCACCTCTATCAATTCCGCAGCATAAATAATAATAATTAAATAAAAAATTGGAAGAGAAGAGGGGTGGGGTGGGGCCGGGGGGGTTCATCAGAATTTGGATATTGCAGAACGAGTGATAGCTTTTCGATCCAGTAGCATAAAATTGCCTTGCCAGTCAAGCAATGTTCTCTCCTAGAAATAAATTAAAGGGAACGGGATAGGAAAATGTTAGACTCCTGCTCCTACTAGTTTTTACTTATTTTTTTATATATAAAGGTATTTCAAATTTAATCTCTCGTTAATCCTTTATTGTTATGTCAGTTATAAAAAAAAATACAGCTATTTAAATTTTTTTAAAAATATATAATGATTTAAATTTAAAATTATTTATTTAAACTATTAGAGTTTTTTCTTTTCAATTCAATATTTTTATTATTTTTAAATAAGAAAAAAAAATCAAATCGTCCAGCTAGCCAAAGAAATCAACTGTTGCAAGTCTTTTCTTTTTTTCTTTTTTTTGTTCTTGCAAGAATCGAATCTCGTGGACCTCCTCAGCTAGAAAAGCACTTCTCAAACTGGACTTTTCTTTCAAAACATGATATTTCTAAATCTTATTTGCAAAAATAAGATTATTTTAATTTTATTTATTAAAATAAGATATTTTTTGTCATATGGATTAAATAACTTACACGTGTTAATTTTTTTAATGCTAGATTCACCAATAATTTTATAAAATTTACAATACATCCATTTTATTGGTTATAATTATTAGATAAAATCAAATACTTGGTAGACTCAATCTCATTAACTCATCAATCAAATTTAGAAATAATTGCTCTAATAAAACTAAAATAATAAACTTTCAAGAAATAATAACTCTATCAACAATCTCTTTATGTAAAAACTGAAATGGCTCGATACCAAAACCATCAAACAAATGGATGTATTGTGGCGTTATACATGGAATTAGTGTTGGAAGTGTGGGAGGGAAGGGCAGCGAGAACGAAAGCGTCGTGGGAATAACTATGAAGAATTGCACCTTCAAAGGCACAAGTGATGGTACAAGAATCAAAACATGGGCTTGTTCGACTACTGGAATTTATTTTTTCATTGGTTTAATATTGTTGCAATAGATTAAAGGAAGAAAATAATAGAAAACTACTTTATTTTTGCTTTTAATTAGAGACTCCTTATGAAGCTCTTGTTATTAAATTTTATCTGTAACACGTGATTAATTGATGCAATATATATAGAGTAAAGATGAGATATAGACTGTTTTCTAACTATTTGGCCTCCTATTGATGGTTTCAATAAATAAAAGAAATCTAAAACATTTTAGAATTTTTGAACTTTAGTAACGATGGTCGTCAATGAGGAGTTAAGCTTTTGTTTTTAATGTATTAAAAAAATTAACACGTGTAAGTTATTTAATCCATATAATAAAAATTATCTTATTTTCATAAATAAAATTAAAATAATCTTATTTTTATGAATAAGGTGTAGAAATACTCTATTTTAAATAAAAACTCCTTAAAGTGGGGCTCAACTATTAATGTAGTAAACGTCGCATTTATTTCAATCCTCTCAACTGTATGTCGGATTTTAAAGCCACGTGGGAGAAGTTAATTCGTGACATTGACCTATTAATTCAGGACATGTCGGTGAATATCGAAAAGTATATTACTTTATCGCCCTTGCATTTCTTTCAGATA